CACTCCAAGACGATAAGGAAACGCGCCAACGCTGATTAAGCAGGCGTCGCGCCGCGCCGCGTGGAAGAGAGAGAGAGAGAGAGAGAGAGAGAGAGAGAGAGAGAGAGAGAAAGGAGATCGCAACGGCCATCTTTCGAGAGTCAGCACTCTGAATTCCAGCGCGCATGCTATGTACGTATATGCATGTGTACGTGTTGAGCAAGTCCTCCCCCCTCTCCCCCTCCCTGTCTCAATTCGCCACGTGTTATCCGCGTATTGCATCACGAGCGTCGCCTTATCGGCGTCGCCGATATTTTTTTCCATTGAACTTCGCGCGACGAAATCGCGGAATTAAGAAGAGGATCCGCTTACGAGAGTAGCCTCGCCGGGAAACGCGAAGGAGCTCCTCTCCTCGATGGATTAATCCGCCAGAGAGAGCACCGCGGTTTCTCCCGGTATGGCCGGGACGAGTCACAACTTCGCCCGGCACAGGAAAGGATCCGGCGCCCATTTTACCGCCGTTTCGTCCGTTAACGCGTACGATGGTGCATTCGCGAGAGGTGCAGGAAACGCCAACACGTGCGCACACGTGATTCCACCTGGTCGCTGGTCGGCAAGGGAGTCCGGGGGGAGTGGGAGAAGGGACGGGGGTAAGGTGGAGGTCGCATATTCGTGTGAAAAATTAGCGATTCGCGACACGTAATCAGTTTATAAGCGCCGCGCGAAGAAGACAATGCAGTGCATTCGGAATCCGTCATTCAGAGAAACGGGAAGACGTACAGAGACGCGAAATCACATCGTGATCAATACGAGCGTGCTACATTCTTGTTTTAAGTACGGCACGTAAGCGCCGTGACTCAACGTTGTTTCAAGGAACACGGCATTGTTAGCGTCCCGCGGCGCGTCGTCGAAAGTCGTAGCGAATCAATAAGGTGGAAATCTGACAATGAATGCGACGACGACGACGAGCGCGCTTCTTCTTCCTCCTCTCTTGCTCCGCGCAGACGACGAGCAGACGAAGCCTCCCTCCTTTCACCGGACCGGCGAGGAAAGGCCTTCCTCGACGACGCAGCGATTTGCGAAAAGAGAGGGAAGGGGAGGAAAGGGGAGAGGGAGAGGGAGTGGGAGAGAGAGAGAGAGAGAGAGAGAGAGAGAGAGAGAGAGAGAGAGGGAGGGAGAGAGAGGAGAAAGAAAAAAGAAACAGGCATAGGAACTCGCCACCGTCCCGTCGCATCATAATCGCGCGCGCGATGCCTCCGCTCGCTCGGCACGGCAGTTATTGATTCGAGGCACGTAATTTAATATCAAACTGATAATAACGTCGCCGCGCCAAAATTAGGATGTTATTTCGGAAAGCCATGCACGTACACGTGGACGCTGGAGATCGATGGTCGAAAATACATCGCGCGCGCGATCGACAGAACCGCCGCCGCCACCGCCGTCGTCGCCGTCGTCGTCGCCATCGTGCAGCAAGGATGGAGGAAAACGGATCACCATCGCCTGCATTTTTACGTAATAACGCGGACACAAGGCGCAGACATTCGTTATTAATCCGTATGCGAAGCGAGAAGTCCGACGTCTCTCTTCGCAAATGAGAGAGAAAGAGAGAGAGAGAGAGAGGGGAGGGGAGAGAGGTCGGAACATGCGCACGTGTGAGATTAGAATTTCCTTATCGGCGATATGCGTCTTTCGATAGAATCGATTTATTTTCGCGGAGAAACCGCGTACGTCCGACAGATTCGCGCTACCCGACGACTCTCGTCGTCGTCGCGCTCTTCCCGGCTTTTCCCCGGTCGCGGCGCGTCGTCGTCGGCTCGATCGCAGCTCTTCAGGCGAGACGCGCGCGCAATGACACATGATTGCGCGATAATGCGAAACGCGCGCGCGACGACGGCACGGCCGGGGTTATTGCGCGATACCTTTCCTACATAGTGTTGCCACCTGTAGGATTTTTGCAGCGATAAAAACTTTTGACCACGTTAATGGATTGCAAGATCCGCGGGCGGAGGGTAAGCTCCACCTCCTCCACCTCCCTCCCTCCTCTTCGAGCCGCTGGAGAATGCGCGACCGTTCGCGGATAATAATTCCGGCAGCCGCGCGCGCGCATCCCACAGTTTATCAAGCGCTTATTTATTTCTATTATTTCAACGTTCCGGGGCCGCGCGAGCTTTTTTACTCTTTTCGAAATCGTCGACACTCTCGCGCGATCGCGCGATCCGCGAGAGGCGGAGTCGCGGGGACGGACGGATCGTTGTCATCGGACGGGCGCGTTCGAAAGAACCTCGGTGCACCTCTCATCACTCCGGTTTACATTCCATTTTTCGTCGTGTGTGTCTCTTCTTTTTTATTTTATTTTATTTCCAGCCACCGTTCTATTTTATATTTCACTTTCCACCGCATCCCCGCGCTCGCGTGTTTGTACTCCGTTCTTCTATTTTATATTTCGCCCTACATCCTCGTATTTCTCTCTCTCTCTCTCTCTCTCTCTCTCTCTCTCTCCCTCTCTCTCTCTCTCCTTCGCCCACGTTTGTTCCCCTCGCACCACGTTCAGCCCCCTCAGCTCTTGACGGCGGCGGCAACGGCGGCTGCGAGCAGCGGTAACACCGCCCCGGTTACCTATCACTCGCGGTTTAACAGCGCGATTGCGCGATAATATGAAACGCGCAAGGACGGGCGGATGGACGGAGGAGAGTGCGCGCGTTGCGCCTTCGAGTGCCTTCGTGTGCATTATATACACATCCCGACGTTGTGTATTCCTGACCGTCCGTTTCGCGCCGAGCGTGCGACGACAACGAGCGGAAGAAGCTCCGTTCCGAGGAATCTCCATCGCACTTTCTCTCTCTCTTTTTCTTTCGCTCTCTCTCTCTCTCTCTCTCTCTCTCTTGTTCGCGACCCTTTGCGAGGAGACGGCGCGCGTTGGCGGTGCAGGCAGTCTGAGATATTTCGGAGTGGCATTGACGCATTGATACGCTTCAGTCGAGGATGACGAGACTCGAATGCGCGGCGCAATAACGAGCGTTAAAAAGAACGGAAGAAATGAATTCAGGACCACCGATTAAACAATCAACAGACAGACGGACAGACGGACGGACGGACGGACGGACGGATTGACGGACCGCTGAGCCACGTGAAATTGCGCCGAAATTGATTAACGCTAATTTTGATTAACTTCATCGTCATTCTTCGCTCGCGTTCGCGCAGTGATCCACGAGGTGAGGAGAGACAATCGCTCAATTTCTCTACGAACATCGAGGAAGCTGGTACAATTTCAAATTTCGGATACAACCTCCATTCGTTTATTCATATAACAATTCGTATAACAAAGGCGGCGCAATAATTGCGCGCGTGACAGCGAATTGTGCATGTGCGTGTATTGGTGGCCTACAAAATGCAAAAGTCCAGACGAAGGCGAGGAGTGGATTGAAAATCGTGAGAAACAGCCGGAACGCCGCGACCACTCGCGAATTTCCCACACGAGTTTTCCGCGGAGCGAACGCGCCGTGTCGCCTCCGCGGATCGGAACGCGCGACTCCGACGAGGAACGAGAAAGGGAGGGAGAGAGAGAGAGAGAGAGAGAGAGAGAGAGAGAGAGAGAGAGAGAGAGAGAGAGAGAGAGAGAGATGATGGCAACGAAAAAAAGAGCACGGAGCTCGCCGCTCGCGGCGCCGCTTAAACAGCTGTTTTCCAGCGGGCAGCGGCCGCGCGCTGCTCCGAAGGAGCGGGATTCGCGGCGAGTGCGCGGCGAGAGCCAGCGCGAAGCGACAGAGAGGGACGGCGATGACGTACGTACCTGTCGCGATGGGCTTTGAGGTTAGGTCCGCCTTGAACGGCAGGAAGCGGTCGGTCGGTCGACGCGATCTCGCATTTTCACTCGGACTTTTTCGCCCGCGGCGTCTTCGCACACACGACGACAACGAGTTACACGCACGCACACACGCGCGTATGTGCATGACGAACGAACGAACGAACGATCGAAGGAAGGAAGAGAATCGAGCCAACGCGCGTAAACAATGCGATATAACGGCACACAACGACACACGCGTTTGCCTGTCGAGTCGCGACGAGCGTTTCCAGTTTCTCGCCGTTATTCTCCGGCGATTTTCCTCGGCTTCGTCGACGCAATCCGTTCAACCGTTCATCCATCCTTCCTTCCTTCCTTCCTTCCTTCCTTCCGTCAAATCTCACAAGCATGGAAGCACTCCATTTTAAGTATCGATAGCGCACTGTGGGAGCGCGACCAAAAGGGACCAACTTCGCGTCTCTCGCGAGCACGGCCGACCTAACCTCAAAACTGCGCGGGCGATTCGGCGAGCGGAAAATTTCGCGCGAATCGATACACACGTTGCTCCGTACACACGTACCTTGAATACGCGTTCGAGAGATGCGTGTCCCCCCTCGATGCAGAAACGCGTTCTCTTTGTCCGCCGCACTCGCCGTCAGCTTCTCTCCCCCTCGTCCTCGTCACCGTCGTCGTTGCGAACGATACTCGAAAACACGCTGGCGAGGCCGAGTGTAACAGACAGAGAGAGAGAGAGAGTGAGAGAGACAAACAGCGAGAAAGAGAGAAAGAGAGAAAGAAGCTGATGTATATACGGGTGTATACGTGTGCCGTGTTTATGTGTGCGTACGTGTAGAGAGATATTGGAGGGGTGGTATGGAGACTGGCAGGTAAGTCCGGTCGGTGAAGAAAACAAGAAAACTCAACACACACGCGAGTCGCACGACACTCGCAGGCAGACACTGGACACCACGGCGACGGTGCGATACCTGCGCATACACACATTCCATATATACGCGGAACGCGGCACCGCTGCTGCGTTTCACCACTGCTCGACAGTCGCGCACTTCACTTCAGAGGGAGAGATCGGGAAGAGGGATCGCGTGGAGATCGCGGCCAGGGAAGCGAAAACTGTGGACACACGGGACATGTATGGTGTGTGTGTGTGCGCGCGCGCCCGCGCGCATGTGTGTGTGTGTGTGGTGTCTAGAATATATATATATATATATGGGGAAAAACTCACGTCGTCGCAACGGCACTATGAAGCGGTGGGAAACGGAGAGAACGCGAGCACCTCCGCGCGATAATCGGCGTCGTGCTGTCACTGGGATGTACGAGGCGCGCTCGTTCAGCACGCGCTCGCTCGTTCGCTCACTCGCGCGCGCTTTCTTTGTCGTTGGTGCGCGTGGATGACGACACACCGGAACGAGAAGGACGTAGCACGCGCGGCACGACGCGCAAGCACTGTGTGACCACCGGGAACACGGCACGGCACGGCACGGCACGATACGACGCGGCGAGCTGAGCGAGAGAGACGCGCGCGAGTTCCGATCGCGGTTCGCTCACACGCTCACTCACTCACTCATGCATGCATGCATGTATGCACGCACGCACGCACGCACGCACGGAACACACGTTAGCACGTAGGCACACGCGGCGGATTATTGCCTCTTCGCTCTCTTCTCGCGAGCCTTCTTTCCTTTCGCCGATCGCAATCGGGTCGCGGCCGTGAAACTCTCGAGTGTAACCGTCGCGCGGCGCGTCTCTCCTTCCTCTTCTCTTCCTCTCTGTCTCTCTCGCGCGCGCGGGAATCGGCGGAACGCGCGCGCGACGACGACCGAGGAAGCGGATCCGCGGCGCGACGATCAAAGTCGTGCGCGCGGGTGGGTGTAGCGGCGATATAACTGTAGTGGTGACGATGTTGCTGATGTGGTGGTAACGATGACGGTGATGGTGGTGGTGGTGGTGGTCGTGGTGGTAGTAGTGGTGGTGGTGCTGGTGGTGGTGGCAATAGTAGTGGTGGTAGTAGTGGTGGTGGTGGTGGTGGTGGTTGATGGTCGTCGATGACTGCGGTGGCTCACACGTGGACACCTGCGTGGTCTCCGCTCTTCTCGCCGCTGCTAAAATGTCGGACGACTTCCGGCGGGCCGACGACCTCGTCGTCGCGCGACGCCAGTTTTTGACAGTCGGCTGCTCTCCCTTATTTCTACCTTCTTTCCTCTCTCTCTCTCTCTCTCTCTCTCTTTCTCTCTCGTCGTTACTCACTCGCGCACTCACCGGCGCAAGGACCCGCGGAGAGTATCGCGCGCCGGTCGGTCGGTGACACTCGTTCGAGAGAACGTTCTCTCCTGCGGACTCTCAGCCGTCCGGCCGTAGGCACAGCTGGAGAGAAACGACGACGCGCACTCTCGATCCGACGCGAGAGAGATGCGTGTGCCGGTGTCCGCAGCGCGCGCGCGCGCGCGCCTTCGCACCGGTCTGTCGTCGAACGTGGTGCGTGACGCGCGGCTCCTCGCGGACGACTGCTGACTGACCGTCGTTGTCGCGCCGATGCGTATCACGTGGCCCGCGCGCGGTGTACTCGCCGATCAGCGTCTCCCGGCCTCGCGGCGACGTCGCCGTGAAGGTGCGCGCCGTCGATCTCGCCGCGGAACGGCCGATACTCCACCGGGCTCGTTCTCCGCGGCCGCGAGACCGACGAGCGGCCTTCTTAAGGACGCGCCCCGATCCTCCGCTGTGTCCTCTCGATCACGAGGCGGCCGTCTCGTCGACGCCGGCGCTGCTATGAACGCACGGACGGACGGAGGAGGAGGAGGAGGAAGAGGATACGCGGTAGAGAGCGCGGTGGATGTATTACTACCGGCTGACACCCCCGCGACAGCGCCGCAATGAACTCGCCCGGTACGAAGGGTCAAAAGCACCGCGGCAAAATAATAACAGAACGCCGCCGCCGTCGCCGCTGCCGCCGCCGCTGCCGTCACCGCCGTTGCTGTCGTCAGCGACGTGTGAGCCGGACAGTAGCCGCCACTGCTGCTGCTGCTGCTGTCGCAGCCGCTGTCGTCGGCGTCGAAACTAACCGGTGACGATTAAAAACAACGCGATCCGTGTCCGATTAAAGTTGCCGATGAGGATGTACGACGATAATGATGAGCGAATGTTGTTGTTGTTGTTGTTGTTGTTGTTGATGACGACGATGATGATGATGATGATGATAACAACGTCGTCGTAGAGACGCAGCACTTGGAACGGTGAAGGATGTTTTCGTCGCGGCTGTTGTCACCGCTCAGGCGACGATCTCTCCCGTACTACCAGGATCGCCGGCGTCGTCGTCGTCGCCGTCGGCACCCGACGAGATACTCCGCTCTCGAGTGACAAAGTCGATATCGTCGTCGTCGTCGTTGTTGTTGTTGTTGATGTTGTTGTTGATGTTGTTGGTGTTGCTGCTGTTGGTGGTAGTGGCGGTGGTTGTTCGCGGCCGCGGGTTTTGGCGGGTTTCCACGGGCGACGAGCGCGCACACCAGCACTGGCACACACCGCGGCCGCCGTGCATTCACCTCGTCCTCGCAGCACGCGCCGCCGCAGCCGCCGCTGCCGTCGCCGTCGCCGACACGCTCCGACGACGAGTCCTCCTCGCCAGCTCGCGCCGCAGCCGTGATCGGCTTCTACGGGGTCCTCGCGGGTGGACGCCTCGTAGGAGCTGCTGCTGTTGCCGCGAGTCGAGGTCGTCGCAGCAGTAGCCGCCGCTGCTACTGCTGCTGCTGATACCGCCGTCGATACTGCTACCGCTACTGCTCCTGCTCCTGCTCCTGTTTCTGCTGCTGCTGCTGCTGCTGCTTCTGCTGCTGCTGCTGCTGCTGTGCCGCCACGCCACACCGAGACGCACGGAACGAGGTTGTCCGACGACGCACTGTCTCGCGAGCGCGCACGAATCAACAGCGCCGATCACGCCGAGGACGTCGGCGTCGGCTCGCACGTCACGGCTCGCACGACGCGTAAAGCAGCGCGAGCGCGTACCCGCAGCACACACGAGAATCGCACGTCCACCTAACCGCGGGGACACCGCATCGCTTTCACGGGCGAACATGGAGCTGGATCCATGCCGAGTGCTTGGCGATTCGGCCGCGAGGTCGCGCGCGCGGCATCGTCGCCAGCGCGAGAGAGGTGCGAGTGAGAGCGAGAGCGCGCGCGCGCGCGCGCGCGTACTCACTCCGGCGCGGCCTTCGCAGGTCGCGCCGCGCCGCGCCGCCGCAGGCTTGCCAACGCGACGCGTCGCCGCTTGACGACAACGGACGCGTTCGATTCGCGCCCGATGGCGCCTCCGGCGCCGTGTACGGCGCCTGCGCTCCGCGCAGGAGACGCGGCCGCGTGAAAACGGCAACCGCTACGTGCTGCGGCGGCGGTGGTATCTTTCTATACGTCGTCGTCGTCGTCATCATCATCGCTGAGACTTCGTCGGTAATTTTAATTATTGACGAATATATCGCGATCGATCACGATACGCCGCGGCAACGACGCCACGCCGACGCGATTGAATGGATTAGCCCGGCTGCTAAGTGGAATGCGCGCCACGCTGCTTTATCGCACGATTGTTCATTCATAATTCCTCGGCGGTTGTCGCCGATGATAGCCGGCGGTGATCGATAGACGTTACACGTGGCGATCTCGCAGCAACGGCGCGCTCACTTTCGGAGGAAAGTCGAGCGAGAGATCGGCCGCATCGCTTGAAATTGAACGCTCGTGGGCCGAAAGCGCGCTTGATATTGCGGCATAAATTGCTCGCCGGAGCAATTTCAATGGAACTGCCGCGCTTGAAGATTAAAGCGATACATTTTACAGCGCAATTAACTCCCGAGGAGCATTGTCCGCGATTTATGCCGAGTTGAACAGCGCCTGATTATCTCCTTTTGTTTTTCATGTCAGTCCGACGCAATCTTGAATAAAGGTTTCTTTTTTTCTCTCTCTCTCTCTCTCTCTCTCTCTCCTTTCTGTACGAGGTTAAATTATGAAAAGATTTTATTGATTTCTTTATAATTGTAAAGTACAGTCGTTCACATCAGTAATCGAAACAATGGCCTGACTCGAATATATCAGTTGGTACAGATACTGTTTTAGTCACTTGAATAACAATATCGAATCACTTTGTAGCGGAATACAAACGAGTAAAATAATTATCTACATCTCCTGTAGATATGTAACTACAAACCGATACACTTGTGTAAAAAGACGACGCAATCACACATGAGTAAAGATTCTAAACGCTTGTAACGATATAAACTTTTTTTTTACAGGGTTTATTACATATTTACAGTACTCTGAGAACATATATCTTGTGTCTTCGACAAAGTGACAAACATCTCTTAAAGGCACAGTACCTACTACAAATTAACAAGAGAATTAAAAAGAAAAAAGAAATTGCTCGTTATGATATATTCGTTTATTTGTTTATATAATAACGTCGCTTAGATGAAGCTCCGATGATCTCCGGAACGAGAGTTGCTCTTGTCGTTATACAGGAGCGATCTGGAGTTTCGCGCACTCGTCTAGAGCAGTCCGACTGATCCGAATATTCGGCTCGCAACAAAGAAAAGAAAAATGTGTGCCCAAATGACAGATTTATGCGAGCAACGTCGATCGGCTGGCAACTTAGCAAGCAACAATACAGCACGTGCATTCGAAGCGTCTCGCTAGCAAAGACGAGATTACCGCAACGAGACCGTTGCTACACAGCGGCGTCTCGTGTGAGATAAGATGGCACTGTGCGATAAAACGCATTTTTTTCTCCACACAAAATCCCGATACGTTCAGCGGGATGGAGGACAGCGCGCGCGAGCGCGCGCGCCAAGATAAAACTTATCGAGCAGAGGAAAAAATCGCGGATGACGCATGCCGGGCGACCGTTACGGGATGAACTTGCGCAGAATGCACAACACTGTACACGACGCAATACTCGAGCGGTAACGCACAAACGCGTCGCTCCGGGCCGGTCGGCCGCGCGACACACAAGACGGGGAAAGTCTTATCTCGGTCTTGGGTTCACGCGCATTTTCCCGAATAGGAAAATTTAAAATGTCTGCCGGTGTCTGCCACACTGGTGTGTGACACGATTTTCCGCATAACTGCCTTAAAATAGAATGCGTCCCCATAGCCACGAACAGCAAAATCCAGCCGATGGGGAGGTATTCATGGTCCAACGGCGGGCACACACACGCACGTACGCACGCACGCACGCACGCACATATAGACACGACGGCGATCTACTTGTATGATAAAAATATCTTCACGATGAAACCAAGTGTTTCCCGTGCACGCTTATTCGATTAAGTCTTGCTTACACGTTTGTCGCCAATCAGAACTCCCTTTGCGATCTGAAAAGTCTTCGTCCCGTCGTGCCTCTTTCTCAGAAGATCCATACAAGGTTCTCTAGCGAGCGCGCTTCTTGCGTCTTTCTTAGACAACGTCGTTGAGGTACGTCACGCATCATCGAACTTCTGCCATGTGCGAGATCTTCGGCGCGGGCGACAGAACGGCGAGAAACGTTTCTTTCTTTCTATTTCGCTGAAGAGTTTTGCTACGGTTATATACGAGATATAACACATATGGCGTGAACCTACAATTGTATACAATTAAAATGCTATCGTGATACTGTTACAGCTCCTGCAGTGCACAGAAAAACGATGTCGAGGTCTCTTCTCTTCTCTTCAGCGGGCTCTCTGAAGCTGGCTCGTGCTCCACCGAGATATTGCACAATTGATCTCTCTCTCTCTCTCTCTCTCTCTCTCTCTCTCTCTCTCTCTCTCTCTCTCTCTCTCTCTCTCTCTCTCTCTCTCTCTTTCTCTCTCTCTCTCCCTCTCTCTCTCTCTGTTTCTCTCTGTCTCGCCTCTCTCGACATCGCTCGCGCGCTCGAGGATGTCCGTGACACTGTACTTCCAGTTTTTCGTTCAGTTGTCCGTTAAAAACAAATGTCATAAGTGTTCGCATTTGTGGGAATTGTACTTCGTCACTTCATGCTTATCCGATCTCGCGACTCGTTGAATTTCCTGTGTATGTAGCAAACGATGTATTACAAACAGGATGATTATTATGCACGACGCACACGTAATGTCCCTCCGGGGCTGTTCGACACAGTTGCCACGACGATGCGGATCCATCGCCGAGAGCGATTACTTTGTTAATCAACGCACAAACGACGCTCTCTCAAAACTTGCCCCGGAAGCCACCGCGACTCCGATACGGTCTTCCCCCCGAGTGTTTGCCTCTGTAAACGTGAGCTTTACCTCTTGTCCTCCCTCTGCCGTGCCACTCGGGTTCCCTTTGGAACGCGTGGCCGGCCATTAAGTCGCCGTCGTCACCGTTTTCGTCGGAGTCTTCCAGCTCCATCGGGCTCTCACCGCGACTGTGCTCGCTTCTTCTTTCGTGGTAATCGTCGCGCTCCATGGAACGTCTGTATTCCGGCGAGAATCGGGGGTGAGCGTAATGATCGCGCACCCTGTGACCGGGATAGTTCTCTCTGTTCTTGAACGGGGAGTCCATTCTCACGTTCCTGGACCCGTGGTCAATAGGATGCTCGTGCTCGGCCGTGTCGGATCTCCTGGACGGAGACGCCTGCCGGTTCCAGGAGCGCCTCTGCGAGGAGTTGCTCAGGTGGAGCCTGAGATCGTCCACCTCGCGGAACTTGGACGTCGTGTAGTCGTACGTTTCCCGTACGCTCCAGTCGAGACGATCCATTATCGGTCGCCTCTCCTCTCTGCTCGCTTGCTGAATATCGTGCGGATAGACCTGCGACTCGCAGTCGACCGTGACGACGGTCGCCTGCACGCCCTTCGTCTCCGTCTCCACGTCGTCGGTCTGACAGATCTTCTGGTGCGTCTGCGTGGTCGGTTTCGCGATCGGCACCGGCTGCTCCGTGCTGTTCTCCTCCCAGATTATCTTGGTTTTGCTCTTCTGCAGCAGTATCGAGTTCGAGCCGTGGTCCTCGGACTCGTACTTCATATCTTCCTCGTCGCGCATGTAGAAAAATCGACCCTTCATCTTTAAACGCGGGTCCTCGTACGGCAGTTGTAACATCGCTTGTTCGCAGTGTCGCATTATTTCAGGATTGAATCCTATTGTTGGGGAAAGAAAGCAGAAAAACAGACGCGCGTGGCATTAACACACGAATCATATACGCATGCCGTGAAATGCTTATACGTTGTATACGTCATGCTTCTCTTACAATGCGTACAACATACACAACCGTAAGTCACAGATAGAGAAGGAAAAAAAACCTTGTTTCTTTTCTTTTTAGAAAACTGAAATATATACCGACTGTCTAATAGTCCTCTAACAGCGGACGGATTAGTGAGTCGCGCGACGGCGATTGCAAGCGCTTTATTGAAAATCTCATAGCTCTTACCTGGATACAACACCGGTATATTAGATGGATCTAAAAGGACACGATGAGAAAGAAAATATGGAAAATTAGTATGGCTGCTCCCACGTGAGTGGCTGGCCGCGCGGTCTTTCGACCGGTAGCCGAGCGGTAGTAAAATTAAAAAGAAAAAAAAAAACGAAAAAAAAAACATGACCATACGGGTCGAGAAAGGAATAAGAAAACAAAAAAGGCATACTCGCACCTTTGCCCGAGACAGACGCTTCCAATAGACTGGACAAGCTGGTCTTTTCAAATTGCTGCAAGAACAATTCACACAAAATACCACGTTAATTCCTCTTTCTTTTCTTCGATCTCCCTCTTCCTCCCACCTCTCTCTCTCTCTCTCTCTCTCTCTCTCTCTCTCTCTCTCTCTCTCTCTCTCTCTCTCTCTCTCTCTTCGCGAAAAGTAATCGTGATCGAACAAAACGAGGCGAACTCGACAACGTACTCTTTTACTCGACTCCGACTCGTGACGCGAACACGCGTACAGCGACAACGTGGTTGCGCTTCGACAAAATAACATATCAAGTTACTCTGGTCTCTATGATACAACATATTGCAGCAACAATTACTTTTGGCTTGGAGATGACCGGTGGTTCCGGTGTCTTCAGTCGTTCTTCGTGTAGCTGATGATACGGTACGTTGTTGTACGACGCTTTATGCTCGTTGTAGCTCTGTGACGACGCGACGGGGGACGGCGCGACGATCGGCACTTTGGCTTCGAACTGGTGGTGCGACTGCGGCTGCTGCTGCTGCTGGACATGCGACGGATTGTACGGCAACTGGCCGTGATCCATCACCGGGGCAGGCACAGGTTGCGGCGACGAGGCGTGCATAGGAGCACGGACGCCGGGTGGCGGCGGCGGCGCTGACATGGCAGTGGCGCTCGGCTGATTGTACATGACCGGGCTGGCGGAATAATCCGCCGGGGGCAGTGTCTGCGGCGGCATCGGCATCTCGAAGCTCATAGGTACGACTGGCATTTCGAAGTTTATGAAGCCCGGTGGCCCGCTCGGCATAGCCATCACGGACGACGATGACGGCGGTGGCGGCGGTGGTGGCGGCGGCGGCGGTGGCAACGGCGGCTGCGAACCCGGTTGATGCATGTATGTCGAGGCACCGAGGACCTGCCTGGCCGCATCCGGTGCTTCCGGCTGGTACACCGGTACGTTGAGCATCGGCGTCGGCGGCGGGTAACCGCCGGCGCTGTTGCTGTTCGCGCTGCTGCCGGCCGGCTTCAACGCCTCGTCTCTCAGCTGTCGTGCCAGTTCGTTGAGGAAGGGCGAGCGTTTCCGCGATCGCTTCTCCGGCGACCTGCTGCGCGTGCGACTGCGACGACGTGGACTGTATCGCCGGGTCATCGCCGGCGAACGGCTCGACCTTCTTCTCGGATGTTCCGTACTGCGGCTCCTTCGATCGCGAGATCGGCTTCTCCGGCTTAACAATTCCAAGCGGGTTTTAATTTACGGCGGTACATCAGCGGAGCGATCGGCTGACATGTAGCTCTAGTATGTGTTCTTATGCTTTATGCTCATACAATATACACTATGTAGCTACGTAAGATTATATAAATGTTTCACAAGTATGATATCTGTCGTAAGGGAATGGGACTACGACCCCGTACCGTGTATCAAACGTGTGCAAATGAATAAACGGTCGTGGGACGCTGATGGATCTCAGTGGGATAACAGTAGGGAGGGTGTAGAGCGGCAAACACGAGCACAAGCGGGGACCCTCGCGGATCCCTGTGCTTGTCGTGATCGTCACTCGTTAAGAAAAACCGACTCATGTTTGGGTTTATTACTTTCAATTAATCAGACTGATACCTCGTACATTCACTGAATAACACGAGACATCGAATATCGACTCCTCCTGGCTGGGAGGAGACCCCACGAGAGCCTTCCCTCTTGGCGGAATATTCGACGTTCGGTTATTCAGTGGCTAGCGGTACGAGTACACTCGGAGAACTTTACAAAAACATTAAGAATGATTGATCTCCTCACCGTTCGTGCATGTCGCGTCTCCTATGCCGCTCGGTGCTCCACCGCCGATCCACGCTGGATCGTCGCTCCCAGCTGAGTCGTCGTGGACTTCTTCGTCGGTCCGGGCTTGACACGCTGGGGCTCCTACGATCGGAAATGTAGCGCGGCGAGTTCCTGCGCTTGCCACCTGGGCTGTAACCCAGAGGGCTCCTGTGCCTCTCTGCGCTTATTCTACCGAATGGGCTCCTGCGACGTTCCGGACTGGGCAGTATGCGTCGGTGGGGACTCATTCTGATGATTCTGTCGGGACTCTTGCGCCGCGACGGACTCGTTCTGCCGTAACGATCCACGCTTCTACGTCGATCGCGGCTCCTATGATCGCGTTGTTGCTGTTGCTGTTGCTGCTGCTGCGCTCGCTCCTGATTCTGTCTCTCGGCGATGCTCTGAATGGCTTCGGTCTCTGTACCCGGCGGCACCACGTTGTCCGAGTCCAACAGGTGCTTAATCGCCTTCTCCTTCTCCGCCAGGAGCTTGCTTTCCGTGTCCCTCTTCGTCCGGATCTTGTCGCGCTCGATGTCCTTGGTGCTCTTGGCGGGATCTCGACGTTGATTGTCATCGCGCTTCTTCTCTTCTTTCTTCGGCTTCTCGCTTCGGTTGTTTGATCCTTTATGCTCGCGCGTGGAACGCTGATGGTGTTCCCTATAATTACTCTTGCCATCACTCATAATTCTTGTCAACAATTGTTTTTTGAAGGAATAGAAATTAATCTGAGTTAGGAATTAACTCCTATCTCAAATTAAAGAAAACACAATGATCACATTTATATATGTGTGTGTGTGTGTGTGTGTGTTGTATGTATATGTGTGCATGTGCATACATGTATGTGTGATAATGTACAAAATCTTTATTTTTATATATCTATAAAGTAACAATTCATATATGATATCATAAAAATTATTTACAATCAATGACACTACCTAGATGATGGCTTCTCTTGCTTCACTGTAAGATCTGCTGATTGTTCCACCTCACGATTCCTCTCTTCGTCACCTTCCCATGCATCTACGACGTCCAATCCTTCCATGAATCCCTCGTTGTCGAGAAACTCTTGTAGCTCTTCATCCGGCATCCCCTTGAGACCCTCAATCATACGTTGTACGTCGTCATTGGTGTCTTTCAATAAAGACTGCTTCATTATCTCCTGAGGTTGCTTCACGTATATCTTGCATGTAGTTTCCATCTTTTCACTTTCTTTGTTTTTTGTTTCCTCTTCCATATTGTCGCTCATATTGTTCACCAACTTGCAATCAGTATCACAGTTTAGTATAATCCAGAGAACATGAAGAACTCAACTATAACTTTTGCAAGGTATACATAGGTGTGTAACTATTTTCCACGCATGTATCCTGCCACTACAACCAGTTTACTGAATAAAAGTATAATGCATAACAAATTTGAGTAAATGGTTGGAAATACAAGATTGCATTGCTTTCATTTGACTACAGTGGCTACTTATGCTACTTATGATATACAGTAGCTATACCTACAATACAACACAGTTGTTAGTTTATCTTCAGTTTATATTTTTACTAAAATATACACGAGTTTCAAACAATCGTCGAGATCCCGAATTTAACGTTTAATTTCATATAAATTAGTCACTCTAATCTAAGAATATCGAAAACAGGGACAGTCACTGCAATTGTTGTTCGGTTAAAGCACAGTGTAAAATGGAATATAATATTTCATACCAATCAAGAAACAAAATAACTATCTCCCATCGTACTGCTGAATTAATCGAACGACTGTTCAAGTTGATAGAATTTCCAAGTTTCGTCGATGGTCCACAACGTTATAGCAAGGAGCTACTCGACAGTTTGCAACCGCGAGTGTACATCAGCGATTAAGAGTCGACTGAAAAGTACACTAAGTAACGATAATGTATTACGATAACTCAAAACACATTGTTAAAGTAATATTTTAGAGCGAAAGAACATAAATTCCGCGAATGTGTTCCCTTCTCTATCAATCCCGCCATATTACTCAACAATGAAGTTAACCTAAGCCATGTTTCACTTCGCCTGCACTCTTTGCTTTTCAAAAGCAAGACAGACGTAGATTTAGACTGTGAAGGGAGAAAAAGACGAGAAATAAAGTGTAATTGGAACGAACCATTCCCCGGGATTATATCAGACGCATTCATCGCCTGCGAAATACACGCATCATTGTACACGAGTCGCCTTTATCGAGATTTACACAATGTATTGGCTTAAAATTTATTAATTATAAGAAATATATTTCTGACGTAGTTCATCGTCGATGCGAGAAATACAATGCGAAAAAATCAATTAGAAACTCTTACTGAGGTTCTCCTCACTTACACGCTTTGCACTTTTCGTACTCAAAATGAAATAAATAAAGCCAGCGGCACACGATGCTTGTTTTCGTGCTGGGTTGTTTGCTGGTTGAAAATACTGCGTTCTGATTAGTACATTTCCGAAGAGGGATGGAAATGCACCAATCAGAACGCAGTATTTTCATCCAGCAAGCATCCAGCACGAAAACAAGCACCGTGTGCCGCTGGCTTAACACGGTCGAGATTTGACGGAAAACAGAAGGGAAGAGGAAGATTGCAGAAGAAAATGGAAAATGCAGGTAAAAAAAAGAGAAATAAGTCAGCTTTGTTGCAGGAAACTTACGGCGTTAAAATAAATTAATTACTATGGCGTTTTATTTGGAAATAAAAGTCTGTCTGATTTGCTGTTGAGTCGTACTCAACTTTTTTATTAACAAAAAAATACAACCATTAAATACAACCTTATACGGTAACTATCTTAATTCTCCGGTAATTAAAGTAGCGACTCGTAGCGAGTGCTTTGGAACTAAAGTTCACAGTAATAAAAGGTCCAACGATCGTTTAGACTCCTTATTATACAGCGTTCTTATGGTTCAAATCTCGGCTAAATTTTAGGAGAGCCAGCAAATTGCTTCAAGTTAGCTCCAAAATTTTGCTACGAGAGCTGCCACTATATTTACTTTAAAAACGGTAAATATAGTTACTGATTAGTAAAAATAAAATGTAACGACATTAAAATTAAATTTTGAAAATTAAATTTTCATTATGCAGATAATGAAAGTAGAATCTCTATTATGTCCATAATGAAAAATTGAGGTTCCATTATTCCTAATTTTACCAACTACAATGAAATGTTTCTTCATCTATCTTTCGTTTACCATTTGCCCCGGATTGTGAAAATATATGGCCTGCAGCTTTTTATGTATTATCAGAAGACACAAATTTGTAATCCCTGACCTTTGTGAAATACTATTATGTGTACAATGTGTATCATGCACACACATGCTCTCTTGATGCCATAAAAATGTCTCCAAAGACAATTCAACATACCCCAGATTATATTACAATGCTTTTTTTTTTTTAATTTGGTATACAATACAAATACATTTATATTGTTTCAGTTTATAGCCATTAAACGTTTGGTCCGTATACACTATAGAAAAAATTATAATGTACACTTTCGCGTCTTTAAGATCACGATGGCGAAGGTTGTCTGTTTTGCAACAATTGACTGTAGGTCTTTTGGAACTGCAGCATATGCAGTAACGTTTTCTCGATTATCTTCGAGATTATGCTGTCCGCGAAGCACTCGAAGCACCGGAAAATGTTACCAGCACACTCGCTGCTCATTGTTATGCTCACTGCCGTGGGATCCATCTTCTCCAACGTACAGAAGAAATTCAACTGTATATTAGTAGCATCGTTCTGCTGTTCCAACACCAACTGTTCCAAAACCTTGTCCGAAACGATCGCTTCTTTCTCCAATGCGCTCAACTGTACGTCCAACAGCATTCTGTTGTTCTTCTTCCTGTTTCTCCACACGCATTTGTTGCCAGTGCAATAGAACGTGATCTTTTTATGGTTCTTAGTGTGCACGTCGGATAAGGTCGCGATTTTCTGACGTTTCGTGTCGTGGTCGAAAAGTACCTCGACTTGCAACTTGAAGACCATCTCGTAAATGTCCTTGATCAGATTGAAGACCACATAATACCAATTCTCTTTTATGTTCTGCTCTTTGTCGACAATGTCCGTACGTTGCTCGAAATTGGCTGGTAACCCGGCCTTGATGTATTGACCGGCGGGTATTATCTTCTTGTATATTTTCTTCTTCTTCTTTGGTGGCACCATATTCGGAGGCGTCCTACCAAATAGCGTCTTCAGTAGATCGTTATAATTGTCCTCACTAACGGATTGGCAGATCTCGAGGCTGAACGCGCAGCAGCGATGGAACGCAATTAACACGCGCTCGGGCGTGATTGCGGTCGTATTTTGGTCGAGTTCGAACGGATCTTGAACGCACATAGCCCTCTCGATGTCCAATTTCTTAGTATTATTCATCGTGACGTAACTCTTATATCTGTGCATGTAATCGGGCAACTTGAAGAAATTCACAAAGTCGGACGCTGCGTATATTTTCCCGTCCAACAGACATAAGACACGCGAGGAGAAGATAAATTCGGCGTAGAAAGATACGAAATCGTGAAACAGCTGCGGGATACTCCTGGTATTGCTACTGGGCGGTAGCGGGGTGTTCTCATCGAAATTCACCTGCCAGCCATTTATGATCAATGGCATGCAGTTCCGTTGTAGCTCCAACAACGGCGGTAGAAGATCGACTTGTTGAAAATAAAAGATCACTAGGCATACCAGACCATAATTGGAAATCCTACCGCCGCCTGTGATTCCGAGATGCTTCGCCCAATATTTGATCAGCAGCATGAGCGGCTTGAGTCGAACGTCGCGCAATGTGCAATATCTTAGGAAATTACTCTTGTAGACACCTAGGCCGTTCTTGAAGGAGATGTCGCAGGAAACGTTGGTCGGTAGATAACGAAACTTTATGATAGGCGTTTTCGCTTTGGGAATTGCTATTATATCCGCAAAAATAAACTTCATGCTGTACATGATTTTCCTCACTCTCTTGAAGATCACCGTTGTTATTATCTGTTGTGATAGGTTCGGTTGATTGAAGAAAGATGGTAAACCTTGAACAAAAAAAAAAAGAGAACGTAATTTTTTTATTGGTCTGTTCTTTGTAGCTGTACTGTTGAACTGGTGCAATAAGCTAGAATGAGAAAATCTATATTTGTCTCACTTTAACTTATTGCACCAGTTCAACAGTGCAGCTACAAAGAACAGACCATATGAAACGTGTAACGTTATCGACACAATACGACGGTGATACAAAATGATGAGATCTTCCTTACCAATTTTACCGAGATACATGTAGATATCCAAATCACATTCTTTAAAACTCAATCCTGCCACCGTCGAACCGAAACTAAAAATTGTACACTCTGGGAAAGTCAACTTGAATATGTCGGTCAAATGAGGACAGATAACCTTGTATCTGGTCATCAACTCAGCGTCACTGAGTTGTATCTCATTCAAAAGCGCCGCCAATTCCCTGTCGAACGTCACTTCTTTCAGGATAACATGACATATAAGGTTGTAATTGATCGGATCTATATTCTCCACCACTTTTTTGCCTTCCGTCGGTATTGGTGAAGTTTTCTTCTTGTTTTTTGGAACATCTGTGGAATGTTTAAAAATGATAAAATAATTGTAGGAAAGTAATGAAAAATAGTACATGAAATATATTCATACTCTTACCACAATCAATTTTCTTTTTCAAACATAGTTTTTCATTTTGCAAAAAGTATGTCTTGCTCATCAAAACTTCGACAGGTTTGCTGCAATATTGCGATACTCAGTTTAGCACATTGCATACACATAACTTGTTATAAACATAAAAAATACCATAGATGATATAAATTACTTATTATAATATTCTATGATGAAAGATCTGCGTCTAAATCGTTCTCTCTTAACTGCTCCAAACTGATGTAGGAAGTGTACTAATTCGTCACGTGATACAGATTTCGGTAAAGGAGAAACACAAATTGACCTCTCTGGTGGATAAAATGGTCCCTCCTCGGACTTTCCATCATGATTATTTGAGCTTGTAGCAACTTGCTTGCTCGTATGTTGAACAGATGTATCAGTAGATACTTCAGAATTCATTATTAGATATATGATAATTAAATTTCTAAACTAATAGCTCACAATTTATTGTATTATATAGCTTTTGATTAGAGCTTCTTGATCAATTTTATAACATTAAATAAACAAAAAGGAAAACATGAACTACTACTTCTTATTAAAACTTAATATTTGACCATCTTTGCTGATCACTTTCAGAAAATATTTTGCTTCGACATATCCTTGTGGATTTCCAGCACACAGAATAACTCCATTCTCTGACTCGAGAAATATTAAACCATCTTTCTTAGCTTTATCAAAATTAATATAAATGAATACTTCTGCGTTTTTGCGTAAACCACTGATGGAAGTCAATTCTTTAGCAAAATGTATATGATTTCTTCTCATACGAGACAGACCTTCAGTCTTTATCTTTGCCCAGTGTTTAAAATAAGTTCCATGAATTATATCGAATTCTACAAGCTCAAGTATTTTTAAACTTAGCTCGGTTATTTCGCTTATAGTATGACCTTGATTTGCTTTGATCTCTAAGATATCATTAGCAATATTAAGAGTAAATCTTTGCTTGTTGTTGTTTCTAACGACTCTCTTGATATCATCAACTGTATAATTAGGTAATTTCTTCAATAATTCTTGTACTGCAATAAAACCATTGGGTTTGATAAACAGACCCCTCTTTACAGCACCATGACGTAATAAATATGATAACTTTTTGCTGAGAACATCATCCTTATCTTGATCCTAAGAACAACATGAAGAAAACAATACACTTATCAGTTAGTATCATATAGAAAAACAGAAAACAATGTTTTTGACATCTCTCCTTTATCAAACTATGTGATAATTCGTCGATCGAAAGTAAAACAAAAAAAAACTGATTATACAAACGGTCGTATAAGTGACAAAAATAATAAACGATATAAGCAGCAAATAATGAGTGACAAAAGTTAGGAAGCACATGCATTCTTCAGCAAATTTCAAAGGTATTCAATACCATTGTCTCTTTCACATGTGTGTGACCTCAGAGTTCCGACTGCATTAATACAGAATACAATGTACATATTGCAATCGGAGCATGCTGAAAATAGTTTCTCCCGACATTACGTTATTACAAACTAACCTGTGAAAACAATAAACAGCAAGTTCTTCCGTACGAAGATATCGAATATCTTTTTGCCTATATCATGAATATAAGTCTTGATACTTGTGTTCTTTGCACAAAAGGCAAAATTACGAAATATACTGATCCAATTTACAATCACAATAAACGCATACATTCCACTAGTATGTTTTCAGCACAGAACGAGTCGTATCTAGACAGCCGCACGCATATTGCGGCAATGATGGTTCATGGTTCAATAGATGGCTCCAAGCGGAACAATTCTGATCCTACGCCAGTCATTGGCCGCATTCAGTAGAACAAAGTGATCAGAGAGCGCTTAGTGATTATTGTCTGTGATTGGAGCATTCTTTTAGATTCTTCATAGACCCAGAAGTATTTACCAATCAGGAGCGAGATTCAGTGGAAAATCTAGTAATGTTGTCCAACTGTTGAGTCTGCTGAATGCAGCCAATATATAAGGAAATGAACCAATCAGAATCCTCATTTCTATTGCCACGCTTGAAATGAAAGTTAAATAAAACTTATGCGTTGTGCATTATGCCTTTATGCGTAAAGCCCATTCTACTTTAGTCGCAGGACACAGAACGCAAGCAATTCACCAATCATAGTCGAATATTAAGAGAATATTCGACTATGGCTGGTGAATTCCTACGACTTGCGACTTGCGTTCTGTGCTTGCGACTAATGTAGAACAGACTTGAAAGTATATGATTCCCGCTTTAGCTTTAGGATAAGCGATAGCATTTCGATTATTTTTATCTCACAAAATCAATTATTATCGATTATCGAAGTTCTTAACTTTGATTATTCTTTAGACAACAGTTTTTTGTTCAATATTATAAAATCGTTATTAATAGCGTAAGTCTATTCATTTTAGTTGAATTAGATTGCACGTTTTATTGTTTGAATAAAATAGGTATATAAATGTACATTTTAAAAAGGGAGCATGTTTTCTCTATATACATATATAAAAAGGGCAGATTTCGGGCCATTTTTACCAAGTTGCAGTTAAATTAACCGCTTTGGGCCCAGAGTTGCACCAATATTATTTTAGTTTTAAATGAGACTTAAACATAAGTCTATCTTTATCTTTCTTACTAAATTAATAAAGACAGAGATATATTTAAGTCTCACTTAAAACCAAAATAATGTTGGTGCAACTGGACCTTAACGAATAATTGAAGTTTTATGATATAATACTTAGGTCATAGAAATAATTAAGTCAATTAGTATCTTCATTTTCAAAGTAATAGTACGCTGGGTCAAACGTCTTATACTCTATCAAAAAATAAGGCAAAAAATAGGCAAAACTCAATAGTCTGTAATTTCGGTAAAAATAATGATAATGAAAATGATCCGAAAAGTATTTTAAAGCTTGAAATCTTTATACTTTTCAGACATATTAAAATCGTAACGTTATTGTTGTTTTTGAAGTAGAGGAATTGATTTAAATAGAAAACAGTGATTATTTCATTTTCAACATCTTTTAGATGAGTTTTTACATTGAAACATTATTTTTATTATGTATGCAGTAAGTAAATTTTAAATAATTTTAAAGTAGAACTTTTAAGCTTCCCCTATTCATTTTTTAATGAACGTCATACATTAATTTGTTCTTTTGTGTGATTAAAATCAAAAAAGTCATTTTTACTTCAATGTTAAATGATTTGGCGAGAAAAAATTGTACGTTAATTAAAAAAAAAGATCTACGCTCTTAAATAATTGCGATGCCATTATTGCACAATGTTTAAGCGGCACGACTCGATAAACTTCATAAAAATATTTTCGCATTAGTAGATGCATTTTATACCAGTGTGGCAGTGTAAGAAATAAGTAAACATTATATTCGAAAATATGAATGTACATGTCTGAGAGCTAGATACATTCAGCTATAAGATACTTTCTGAATCACTTACTTTGTTTGCAGAAATTATAACTAGTTAAATTTGTAGCATATTACGTGACGTGCAGCTCGCGGTTGCCTAAAAGATTTTTTTACAATAATTTATTTAACATTGCTTCATACGTAAAGGTAGAAAGGAGAAGTTTATATATATATATATATATATATATATAAACATATATATTACTGAATAATGTATCTATATATTTTAACATACGGTTTACATAATTTTTTATAAGAACATGCGTTTAATGGTCTACCAAGTATAAAAAACTTCAACTTTGCGTTTCAATAGTTGAAATGGAAAAATATATATAAAATATAAAACTTATAGATAATACCTGAGTTAAATATATATTTAGTTCAATTAATACGAGTAAAACATCTGAAATATATTATAAAATTCCTTATCGACATATTTGTATTTTTATGGAAGTGTTTTCAAATAATGGTAATTATAATATACATACTTGAAAACTAAAAAATGGAAATTCATTTCTTTTTTCAGAAAATACATATAAATTCACATGTACACATATATATATATATATATTATATATATATATATACATATACATACATACATACATACATACATATATACATACATACATATACATATGTATATATATATACACACTTACATGCACACCTATATATATGTATATATATATATATATATATATACATATATATATATATATATATATACACCTGTATATATATATGTGCTGTATCTATATATATATATACACATGTAAATATATATGAATTATAATTTCAAATCTTTACAAATAGTTCACATATGTAAACATAACATTTATATAGCACACATTGTTTGATCTTAATCCTACATATATCGCATTGTTTGTAATAAAATAGAAAATAAATTTTAAGAAATAATACATTGAAATATATATAAAATATTCTTAAACATATATAGAAAGTTGTAAAAACAATTTAGTCAAAGCAATTATGAACAAACCTACAGTCAAATACAAGACCATCTTATCAATACTTTATATTAAAGACATACATGTACATATGCACAACATTGAACAAGTCTTTCTTAATTTAGGGAACTCATAATTTTTAACAAAATCTTCAAGATTGCACTTACACTGTTTTTGGTCCATTATGTGCTATGAGAAAAGAATCAATACTCTACAAGTCTTATTTTAGATATTCTAGGATAGTATTAATAATTGCAAACATTGCCTGAGCCTTTGCATCTTTTTCAGTTGCACCTATACCGAATTGTGCAATAATTGGCGTAGACAGCATACGTACACATATTATTGTAACACCAGTCCTGTAATTGTTGCAATTTATTTGTTTTAATTTGACTCCTAATGCCTTTTGGATATCTTGATATATTGTTTCCACTATGTTTGATTTATAGTTGTCCATTTGGCATACAATATGCATTCGTTCTCTTAAATCATTTGGTATCTTATTGGAATATATATGTTTGAATAAATTGTGAGAATTTGTAAGAGAATCCATATTTATCGACTTGCGTCTTCCTGTGTCGTCCAAAACTCCAGATGTAACATAAGCTGATAATGCTTTCCTTGATATTTCTGTGAGAGGTAAAGTTGATTTTTTGTTTTCCTCATTATCTATTATTTCTACATTAAACTTCCGTAAATCGTCTTCAATTGTTCGTTGTCTTTTATCATTATTAAATAATGTTAATGACAATATGTTTGTATGATCATTCTTAATTACAAGGTTTTGTTCTTTTGTATTGTCAGAATTTGATTCAATGTGGCTCGACTGGACATTTTCTGATGACGTTACAAGTGTGGACTCAACAGTTGGCTTCTCTGTGCTTAATTTCTTGGGGTTATTTTCCAGTATTTGCGTACAGTCATAAACTGTTTCTGTTGATTTTCTTTGGTAAATATTTATGTGAGTATTCTTAATTGTATTATTATTGTCATTATATGCTGTAGTACCGTTCTCAACTGTAATGTTTTGCATTGCTATATTGTTAGAGATAGGTTCAATATAGTTTGTCAGTGTGTCACTTGATAACTCGGTTATTTTCGATACTTCAGCAGGTAAAACTGGTTCACTAATTTTAATGGAAGATATTCCTATAGTTATGTCTTGGGAATTATTCTGGAATATTTTCTTGACATTTTCAAGTTTCTTATAAGCTTCTAATGGCAATATGTTTGAAACTATCAAAAATTGCAGCACATTTTTAGCAGCTTCTTGTTTCGCAGATTTCTTACAATGTGCTATGCCTGTCATTTCTACGGATCCAATAGTGCTTTTTATCTTAAATGTTCTCATATGGCTGGGACCATTCATATCAACAAGTGTATACGAAGGTAAATCTAGATGATATTGTGTACAAAATTCCTATGTACAAAACAAAAAAATTACATCATCAGTGGATTATTAAATATAATATGCAAATTATATAACTTACTTGTAGCAATCCAACATAGTTCAATTCAGGATACACTTGTGTATGTAATGGAGGAGAAATATTTGTATTTGATTGATTGTTGTATATTGTTTGGTAAATATTTAAATGATGCGTCTTATTTTTAGCCGTATTTAGCCTTTTTGAATCTATTGTAACATTTAATAATGATAACATATTTAAAGCAGCATTATATTTAGCTTCTTTTTTGTTATTTCCTATGCCAGTTGCACTTAAATTTTTACAGGTTACTTCACATTTAAATTTGAGAACGTCTATTGTGTAAGTATAATTAGGAAGATAACCGTCTTTGACCACAATTTCTTGTAGAAGGTTAATTGGTGACTTTTCCATTTTAGGCCTGAAAAAAGAATATGTAGTTAAAAAATTATGTAGAAAAATAAGCAGAAATATATCTTTGTATCATTATACTGAAGAGAAAAAATATTTATAAGCATGTTTTGAATAAAGTTAATAGATATTAATAGACAAACCTTTTCATAATTAAAATTTATTTACAAAAATATAACGAAGATTACTTAGAGAAAGACAAAAAATACTTGTTCTAAAATTTACGATATATATCATATGAATATAAAATTGATATTTTATATGGATGTAAAATTTATCAAGATATTTATATATATTTTAAGCCTAAAAAAATATGCTTCCTCTTTCTCACTTTCGAATATCTAATGAATAATAAAATATCCAACAATTATAAAGAAAATGTTATTGGCAATGTATATTCTTTATATATAAATATTCTGCTATTATAAATATTAGAATCCATATACATATTCTAACAAATATTCCAGTATTACTTTTTTTTCCTTGTAACGTATAAGAACTCGTCTAATCATAACAAAGATACTATGTTATAATGTAACAATATGGAAACATCAAGTTTGTCACAAAAACTAGAAAGATTTGTTTATTTTGATTTATACTTCAAATGTGCAACGGATATATATTCTTATGTTGGAAAATGGCAAATTGAAAAGCTTAAATTCGTGTTTTATACCTGTAAATATTTCTATCCAATTATTTGGAGTACTTCTGAAGATTCCTTCCAATAAAAGTATGCGATACCTTCCTGGTGTACATACGATCAATACAATTTGCTATAATCTGAAGTTCGCATTATATCCTCTATATATATTTTCGTTCCTAGTACTTCCCCTTCGTATCCAGTTTGTGTTTCGTCATGTTATGTCATATCGAACGATAGATTTCAGCCATTGATCATTGTGTACCCGGGTATGACACAGTAAAGCCCTAAACGCAATGCCGGCAACAGGTAATAAGAATAAAAATAAACCAATCACAATCGACTATTACAAGAATAATCTATTGTGATTGGTCTATTTTTATTCTTATTGCCTGTTGCCTGGCATTGTGTTTAGGGCTTAAAGTTACGAACAGGAGTTCCAAATCCTCTTCTCATTTATCTTGTGCGCATAGTACAGTTGGCGCAATACGTAACATCCTTACACATGATTGGTCAATACTATCAGCTGTACGGTGACAATCGGTAATTGATATTGCGATACTGAACATATAATCGACAACTTTTGTAATTAATATCCTAGTCATTATGGCTGCGTTCCGATATTTATTGCCAACATAAAAAATTTATATTATACGTGACACAATGTAATTTTAATATTGATAGTCTGGTTTATATAGCATGTTGAGTTGTATCATGTCATTTTGGAATGTACGAATGTTTTTGAATTTAGATAAGTTTATGCAGAGCATTTTTATATGCTCTGATACGGAATAATATACAGAATAATACAGAAAAATACAGAATTTGGGATTTACTATTTAAATTTTTACATTGTAAAATGTCGTTTCTATTATCTGTTTTGCATTAGTTATTTTTAGTCATTTTTAGACCGGCGTTTGATGCTCTCCTATGTATTCGTTCGTGTAGGCATAATGGCGGACATGTATTGAATATGAACAGATAACCTAGCTTAATGTAACCACGAGTTTGGGAGGAGCGTGGAGTGCGAACGATCGTTAAGATAGAATAAAAAACTATTCTAAATTAGATCCAAATATGAATAAAACACCAGTTTCTATACTTCAAGAGATGATGGTGAAAAAAGGATCAGTGCCAAATTATGAGCTGATACACGACGGTGGTGGCACTCATATAAACACTTTTACATACAAAGTAACATGTGATGGTTTCACCGCGACTGGTACAGGTCGTTGTAAAAAAGATGCTAAACACGAAGCTGCCAATGCTATGTTAACAACAATTGCCACACATAGAAATTATCCACAGTTGCCAGCATCACCTGCTACATCTCCTGTTAGAACTCCAATGCCTGATTCGTTACCAATGTCTCCAAGAATGCCAGCAAATATACCTTTTGTTAATACTATAGGTGCTTTACAGGTAATTGTTTCCTGGCTTTATATATGTAATAGTCATTTCATGTAATAGTATTTCTATATACTTTCATGAGATTACTTATATTATTTCAGGATCTTTGCGCCGAGAATAACTTGCAGGAACCTGAATATGTACCTGTCAGTGATGTTGGGCCACCACATGCAAGAGTTTTCACTATTCGATGTGTAGTATCTAACTTTTCAGAAGACGGAGTTGGAACAACAAAAAAACAAGCAAAGCATGATGCTGCTAAGAAAATGGTCGATAAGATAAATAGTCTCGTCAATGGTAAATTAAAAAGCTTGAGTATAGAGAATGATCCTGAAAACAATAAAGATTTTGAATTATCCAGTGAGTTTGCAAAATCAAAATATTGTATTCTGAAAAAATTGACTAGAAAAACTAATTTAGGTATTAGATTAACTGAATATCACACTGTAACAAGAGATAACCTAGATACTGATTTACGCCATAAAATATTAGAAGAATTGTGTAATTTAATTCCTAGTGATTTCAGTCAAGTTACTGACGAGTTACTACTAGAAAAGTTGTCAAAGTTGGGAAACTTGTTGTCAGAAGTTAATATAGCACTTATTTTGCAAGATGCACGATTTATAGATACCAGAAATTACACAAAAATTATGCAACTAGATACATGTCCTCCAATTATACAGATTGGCATAGGGAAAACGGAGGCAGAAGCCACTTTTAAAGCATTATCATATATGATAAGTACTCTAAAGTTACTTTGGTCATAGAATATATTGGTATAGAATATATCAATATAGAATTGTGAAATATAAGATTAAATTTATTTTCATAATTTTAAAAAGTTTAGCTCTCTGGATTTGTCACTTTCTAAAGGTGTGATCAATTAAAATTACTTTATTTTTTTATTTGAAAAATATTTTTTTAAGTTGTAATAGAAGGGTTAAGAAAAAGAAGAATTCAGTAATACACAATAACATATATCTTACATTTTATTTACAGATACATAGCGTCTATTTTCTGTTAAAAAGAATTTAAGTCATGAAATTATATGTAACTACTATTGTAGAACGTGGTAGTTAAATATTAAAAAAGATATTAAAATATTCAGTTCAGACGCTCGAAATAATTTATACATTATTTTAAATTTAAGGAAAGTTATATTTTAGTTTTTAATAACTTTTGCATACTTTTATATATATATACAAAACTCTAATCATCTAGAAGGCTGTGTTGATTTTTTATTGGTTTACACGTCGTAACCAATATGATAAGAATTATTAATTATTAATTTGTTTCCATGTATGTTATCTTAATTTTGCATATATTAAATACTTCATTTTATAACATTTTATATATTTGTAGATATATCTTAAACATATAACTTCTTGTAATAATATAATATTCACGCAAATGATATGTATTCTTACGGTAATTGTAACTGTTAATTTTAGATGTAATTCACAATGTCAATGAAATTCAATGTTTCAAATAATTGAGTTACTATGGACATTTCTGCGATTAAAAGTTAAGTAATGAATTAAAAATTGGAGTGTAGAGATTAAAATGCATACATAAAATATATTCGTGAAATTATTCGTAATTACTATATACATAATTTTGTTATTTATATTTTTAAAGCAAAATTATGTATGATTACCATCATATTTTGAAAAGTATTTTCGATTAAATAAATTATATAATATAAGATAAAGATTAGATAAATCGGATAGATAATAAGCTAAATATATTTCCGCTATGTTCTGTATATATATACATACTTTTACTTTCTTACATTATATATCTAATATTAATTAATTATAAATATAATATAAATTCTAGATTTGATATTGTTATTCCGTATTGGAGAGGCATTTTTGAGAAATATGTAATAAATTTATGTCTCTAATGTCTTTATTCCTTTATCTTATTTAATATCACATAACAAGGCTACACCACGGAGTGTCCAGTGCCGAGGGTTGTGATCCGTCTCGAAATCAATAGAACCCACGTATTTTGAGTCTGTTCTCTGGGGTTTCCTATATATAGGGCACTCGTACAATTTCGGATCTTTGCCGGCGGTAGTATTTATCGCGAAAATGTAAATAACTGGCATTTGTTCGTAGAGGACTTTCGGTCTGCTCTCGACGAGTTTACCGGCTTTTCGGTCGAGTGACGCACCCTCGAGAAATAAACCGTGGACATACACCCCTTCTTGCGGTTGATTTTTTATATCCTCCTTGTTGTAACGCGTTATCACATTTTGCAAGACCACAGAATCCAATGCCCAACCCTTGTGTGCCCTCGTCACTTCCTGACATTTATTTATATTAATTTATCGATATAATTCGCCTCAATTTGTGCACAAAATAATTAAAAAATGATAGGAGTAATTGAAAAAAAAACTAATCAATGTTGAGATACGAGGGTAGTCCCAGAAGTACCTGACCCGACGTGTAGATAGCGGTTGTTGTTTGAAAAGAATGACTATGGTAGAAAGTACCAGCCTTATAAAGCTTAAGTTTGAAGTTCGACGACGCTACGTTGTTTAGTATTTGTTTGGCAGCCATCAATAGTGAACGCTCTCAGTGAATTTGTAAACATGGAAAAAATTGATCATCGTTGTGCGATACAATACTTAGTCTCATTTGAAAAGCCTCAGTCCAACCAATATGAAAGCGGAGCTAGATTCTACTCTGGGGGAGTCTGCTCCTTCGTTTACAGTAAAACAGTAAAATATTGGGTGGCAGAGTTTAAACGAGGGGCCGTACGAGCTGCCAAGACGAACATCGTAGTGGTCGACCAAATGATGTGACCACGCCAGAAATGGTGAAGAAAATCCACAAAATTGGTATTGGATGACCGTCGACTGAAAGTGCGCGAGTTAGCAGACATGGTAGGCATTTCCAAAAGTGCTGTACATCGCATATTGACTGAAAATTTGGACATGAGAAAGCTGTGCGCAAGATGGGTGCCGCGATTGGAACAAAAACAGCGTCGTGAGGATGTTTCAATCGAGTTGTTTGACGAAGTTTCGCAGCAATAAAGCCGAGATTTTTGCGTCGATTCATAACCATGGATCCAGACATGGGTCCATCACTTCACACCTGAGACGAAGGAACAGTCAAAACAATGGACTAAAGTGGCTTGATGGCTATTTTGAGGAGCTCGACGATTCCCACCCTATAAACAGGGTATCGAAGCTATTGAACATCGCTGGGAAAAGTGCTATTGAGCTAAAAGGAGACTATGTAGAGAAATAAAGATATTTTTTCCCAAATTTTTTGTGTTTTCTTTGTTCAGGTCAGGTAGGCTTCTGGGACTATCCTCGTAATTTAAGTGCCAAAGAAGTGATTACTCCAAACATCATGTTTCATCTCTCACCTGTCTCATTGCTGTTAAAAATCCTTGCGGATTAAAGAATCCGGTCATCCAGAAAACCCTCGGACGGCCGTGGTTGCACCACTGTCTAAACTGATAGTCTCTTTCCAGAAGCTCCGTGTACCAAAAACCCAGGGTCGCCGACTCCCAAGATATCTTCAACCATCTTTCCGGGATACGCGCGTCGTACATTGAGTCTAGCGACTTCCGCAGGCCTTGACTCATCACAATCGTACCCTCGATAGCCAGTTTCAAGTCTGTTAAAGTGCTTCGTACTTCCTTAATGACCCTTGAAATCCTTAGAAGAAAGCAATAATCGACATTATAAGGAAAACTTACTTATCTCTGTGTGTTCTCATCCATGATGTATAAGAATCACTCCTTAACAGGCATCGATGTTGAAATTATTTCTCCTATGTGCGATGCGATATCGCAACGTGAACGTAAAATGTGTGCTTACCGGTCTATCTCTTGCCTCAGAAATATATTCATCGGCATCAACGGTCCCATCCTTTGAAGAGCTTCCTTCACCTCGAACGAGTTGTACTGCTTGGGTAGTTTGGACAGCATGTCGTCAGCTAATTTATACACGACGTTCTCTCTGGTTTCGCCGCCCTGTGCGCCACTCTCTTTCGGCTGCACGCTGAGTATCGTGTCAAGGATATCCTTCGCCGTATTAATCTGATAAGTGATATCAGCATTTGGGTGCAAGCCGAAAACTTCCGGCGTGTCGGTGATGGGTAAACTGTCGATATAGTCTAAATATCCTTGGAGATTTCTCGTCTGGGGTACTCGGTATCCTCGATAGAACTCGAAGCCCGGTCGTAGCAGCACGTCGCAGAACCAGACGTGCGTGAAAGTCGTCAGCAAGCGCTTGTCGAAATCGTCCGTGACCCTACCGCCATATTGAACCTGAAGCGACGATGAAGACGTTTGCAAAGTAAACAACAGAGAATACAGAGAGCAATGTCAAAACTGTAATGTATTATAATTGTATGCGATTGAACGGAGATAGAAATGACGACCTCTCCGAGCATGTAACAGACGGTCGGCCAGGAAACGCCCTTCTTGGGATCCATATCGTCTAAATGATTCTGTATGAATTGAACCGATGCCGCAAAGTCTGCCTGATTGAACTCGTAAGGTATATTCCAGCCGAGCGGCCCGAATTTTCTTCTCTCCTGCACTACGGTGTGCAGAAACGCGACAGCGTACAACAAGGGTGGCCACTGTGATTGTGTGCTGTAATCCAACGTGTCTTGAGTTATCGCTTGATAGGTCCTCTTCAAGCTAGCCCTTATACCCTGAGGTGGCTCGTTTGTGAACTTGATCGCCATCTGAAACAGATCGTTTTGAGAAGTTGCACACTTTCTCGAGTTCGAGTTTTCGAGTTCGTTTCACTTGTTTACTCTGTATCTACGACGCAACGTGTCTTGCACGTTTTCGCGCCAAGAGAAATCGAAGGTTCAACCTGTAGTAAGCCGATGGGAAACTGAGGATGAACCTCTGTCGTCATCCAGAGTCTGAACGCCTCGTGCACCGTTTCCGTTTCGACGAGAGCGTCCATCACTTCTGTACAGAAGGGCAACGACAGATGGATATTTTGCAGGAGGACCCAGCCGCCCGTGTTCATGGCCTCGTTGATCATCCTGCGGGCGTGAAACTCTTGGCCCTGTCCCATAGACACCGAGTTCAACGCTGTAGAAGACATTGGAAACGTCATCGTCGTCAACTCCGGCACTTTAGCTCGTCACGAGAAAGAGGATTCGACTCGGTGACTTGACTTACGGATCGTCTTTTGCTTTGCTAACGCTGTAATTTGCGGACTCGGGTCGGACCCTATGGATAACAGGCACGCCAGCGGCGTCCTGGTCTCGGACTCCAGCCATGTCGCCTCTAAATCCAATATTTTGGCCTCTCCGTATTCTTTACCCAGCGACTCGGTGATGTACCTCCTCGCTTGCGACAAGGTCCGGTCGGGACTCCACGATCTGATGAGCAGCAACTTCCGGAACACATCGAGACTCTTTTGATAGCCGCACGGCAGCTCCTCTTCCTCTGGCTTCTCTTTCTCGTACCATGCTCTCCATTCCTTCTCGCTGAATTCGATCTTGGTTAGGATATCGCAGAACACCTCGAGCCGGCTTATCTCGACCAGGTTCAGCCACGTTATATCGAGTATCCATTTGAACGGTTTCGGCGTCACTGCGTTGAGGTCCAAGGACGCACCGCCTTTGATGAAGGCGTTGAATTCCACGTGAGAGATGGTACCTTTGTGGCAATCTATTTTCATGGCTAACATCAGCGTGAAGAGGGACTTGTGTCGCTCGTAGAGGCTCCTCAGGGTGAACGCCCAAACCTCGTAAGTGAGGTGACGCAGGATTATGTTGATCCGCTCGTGAGTGATAGGAGTCTTCGTGGACTTGGTGATCGAGTTGTCAAAGATCGTCAAGAATTGCCGCAACGAGTTCTGGTACATCACGTTGACGTTGCTCATCTCGACTATCAGGAAGTACAGGATAGATCCTCTCGACGCAACCGCGCGGAACTCCTCGCGCGCCAACGTGATCTTCTTCTCGGTGAGGGCGGACACCTGCAGCTTCTCGTTCACCGACTCGGCCGTGGTCTTGGTTTCTCGCAGCACGGTTATCAGCGCTTCGTCGTCCACCAGCGAGCCCTCCGAAGACGTGAGTCTGTGCAGCAGCGTGCTCTCGAGCTCTTTCATCGAGCGCTGGTTGTTCATGACAGACTCGAACAAGGCGACCCTTTCCGCTTCCAAGTCGGCTTTCTCCATAAGTATCACCCGGCCTAACAACTGATCTTCCAAACCCAGCATTGTCACCGTGAAGTCGATGATCGACGACTTGGCGGAGATCTCCGGGCTGTACGCGGGATTCGGTAGTTTGGTGGTGATGTACAACATGAATCCCGGCATCACGTCGCACTCCTTGTCGCCGACGATAACCTTCTCGATAGATCCTGACTTGATGAAGTTCTTCTCGAGCACGTTATCGAGCACCGGGTCGAGTTCCTCGGCCACATCCTCGATCAGCAGCGGTCTGCCCAACGAGAGACTGTCCTCGAGATGAGTGCGAAAGTATTTGTGATTCAACGAGGTGATCTGCAACTCGTTTGCGCACTCTTTGTTCTTGATCCACATCTTCCCCTGATTCTGAGGGTCCACAAGAAGCGGATAAGACGAAGACTTGGTGACGATGAGTGCGTTCTGCACGGACAACTCGTCGTTCGGCAGTCCCTGAAGAGTCCATTCCGACATGGTCGCGCTGTCGACCAGCATGTTCGTTATATTCAGATTCTTGGTGAATGGTACAGACTTGGTGGTCAGTATGTTCATCCAAGCGGCCACCAAGCTCGCTCGATATTGTTGGTTGTAAGGTCCACAGTACGACAAAAATCCAGTCGCCAACAGAACGTCTCCGACCAACTTCCCCAGCTGAACCTTGAATTCTCCGCTCTGTTCGGTCCAGCGGATCTTCTCGCCACCTAAGCCATTGATCAAGGCGGTCGCAGCCGTCATCTTCCTCAGGCATACGTTCGCGGCCTCCGTCAGTCTCTGCTTCTCCGCTACCGCGCTGTCGTATTGCTCCTTGACCGACTGCAAGGCCATCTCCCTCTCGGACAGCTCTCTCTCGGCGTTCGCCAGGTCCTCCATCGCGAGCTTCAATCGTGCCTCCTGCAACGCTAGATTCGCCTTCAACGGCAGTACCTCCTTGTTGACGCTGTGAAAGAACGCCATCGCCTTAGTCCACGAGAGCAGGCCGGCAACGTCGCCGCACACTCGCCTGGCCGTTTCCATGTTGTAGTCCTCCATCTTGAAGTAGGGCTGCAGCAGCTCGACCATCTCGTTGTTGATTATGTCCTTCGGATAGTTTTGCAATTGCAAGAGAAACGTCGTGCTGGCCATGAGCTTCAGGGACTCCGCCCACGAGGGTTTGGGGCACGGCGCGGCGGTGTCGGGTACGACCGAGCCGATCTTACGTTGGAACAAGATCAGCACGCAGTCCATGATCCTCATGATGAGATGCGGCGGCCTACCCAGCTTCCTCACTGTCGCTATGTGAGCGGGCTTGATGGTGTTCAAGGCAGCCTCGGCTTCTTCCAACGCTGGCTTTGCAGCTTCTAGTTTCTGCTCAGCCAAGGCCTTCTCATCGGCTATGCAGGCTACCAATTGTTCCGCTTTCTCCTTTACTCTTTGCACTTGATTCTTGAAAGCCTCGGCCTGCATGGCTCTCTCCGTCACCTCCAGAAGCACCGTCTCCGCTTTCTCCGAGGCTTGGACCAATTCTTGTTCCATCACGGCTAAGTCTCTCTTCAAGATCTCAACCGATATCGACGCCTCTTCGAGCTTCGCCAAGCCTGTGTCCATTCTCTTGGCTCCTTCGCCGAGCTCCTGTCGCTTGGACCGGTAAATGTTCTTGTACCCGCTGATGAAATTCAAGTAGGACTTGGGAGTCACGTGAGTGGCGCGGCGAAATCGTTGGAAGTATTGTATCGAGGTCCCCGAGACGATGTCCTGTATGGAGCCTAAAGCGTTCACCAGTTCAGCCTTTACCTCGCTGGTGCAGGCAATCTCAAAGTCGTGAAGGAAATGCTTGGCGACCAGGATCAGAGCGTCCTTGGGCCAAGGTTGGAACCAGTCTATGGTGCAGCCTGAAATGAGCGCGGGAAATCGTTGCGCACGATTCCGGAACTTCTCTCCTACGGGAGAGAAGCAGAAGACGACGTGCAGATTCTGGCAGGTTCTCTGCAGGAAGAAGTCCATCACCAGCTCGTTATTGAGAGTCCTCTTGGGATTTTCTCGTCTTAAGATAGGCGTCAGTTCCGAGATGATTTCCGCTTGCTCGTCGCGCGTGAATAAGTTGCTGATCACTCCGGAACTGAGAATATTATTCAAGTATTCGAGGAAGCCCTCTTCCTTGATGTCGAGATCGGTGAAGATAAAAGTCGTGCCTTTGCCTTGAGCTCCGCAGGTGCGATACAGATATCTGAGGTCCTCTAAGAAATTCGCCACGTTGTACGACCTAGTCAGGGTGATCTGAAACGTCTTGTATCCGGCGATGAAGGAGGAGAGCTTCGTGAGGCTTTGCTTGCCGGAGCCGCCGACGCCCACCAGCATCACGTTGCCTTTCGGATGTCGAATGACTCGGGATATCTTCACCAAGTGCAGCATTGCGTCAGGGAAGAACACCAAGTCCATCCCGGCACCCCTTTGCATTTCGTTGAACTGCGTGAGAAACATGTCCAATCGGTCTCGCAATACCTGATCCTCGTAAACAGGTTCGTACACCTTGGGCAGCTCCACGTCCGCTTCTTCGCCTTCCTCGCCAGTCGGTTCCGGAGCGTCCCTGCGATTAAACGAACGTTACACGCATTGGCTCTTTTGTTTTTGAGTGTGCTGTTTCTACTATCGCCTCATAATAACATACCTCATGAAATCGACAAACACAGGATCCTGATTCAGCATGCCCACGTACTTTTTCCCTAGAACGTCGCCGACGACGCGCACCACCTCCTCGCCGAACCAGACCTTGTCGCTTTGTATCGTGAACCTGTCGCTAAACACTCGCGTGCACTCATGCTTCCAGAGCAACATCAGCACGCTCTCTTTGTCGATGACCGTCGACAACGTGCCGACCATACCTTGCCAGATCCTCGAGAGATCCCGAAGACTGAAGATATAATGAAACTTCGCGGGTGTCGGCAGCAGTTTCGTCCGTGTTCTGTCCCAGAGTAGTCGGGTTAAAGGTACCATCTTCTTCACGAGCAGACGCACTTCCTGCGAGAATCCTCTCTTGATATTGTAATGCCCTTCTCCCAGAACGCTGAAGATCCGATCGATCGACGTATTGTCGGGCAATGTGCAGTTGAAGATGCAGAACTGCCTCTTGAGCCTCGAGGGAATGTCGTTTCTTCCGCCACCGGGCTGACACATGGCCGCTAGGAAAGTCACATCGACGATCACGGTAAAATCGCCAGGCTTCTCCAAGGAGTAGAAGCCTCTCGTGTCCATCGTTTGCCGGACGATCTCGTTCGTTATCTGATCGCCCCATTCGTTGATTTGCGGCAGATTCACGTCGTCTATGAAGACCAACATCTTCTTGCCGCCCGGAGGCCCAAATGTGTTTCCCAAACGCTTCTCCACGTAACTCTCGATGGTCTTTTGGAATTGATACGGACTCGTGGCCGAGCTGAAATTGAACGAACGACTCAGAGTCGTGTCTGGATTCGCCTTCTTCATGTACGACTTCATCATGACGGTCTTGGCGGATCCCTGTTCACCTATCAATAATACAGCCTTGTCTTGACGGCCGATCAGATCGATCAGGTATTGAATCCTCACATTATCCGGTATCGGTACCAGAACGTTGCTATAGTCGGGCGTTAAATACTCGGGATAGACGTAATTGGTCACCATGCTCGTCCAAGTGTCCCACACGCCCTTATCCGTGACGAAGAAGTCGAATACCGTGGCGTCCAAGTACCTGTCGGAGGTTGGAAGATCCAACGTGTCGAAGTTTTCGCGAAGATACCTGTCGTACTTCAGCCTGTCGGCGGTTTCCAGCAATGCCCCTATGCTCCACACTAACGCGAACACGTAAAGCCGCTTCAGGTATTCCGCCGTTACCGGCTGCTGCTTGTCTTTCTCCGTATCCTCGTCTTCAGTCTCCTCTAACGACGTCTCGACTGGTATTAGGCCTTCTAGCAGGCAAAGCATTTGCCTCACTATGTTACACTGCAGGACGTCGATGGCGAGCGTCAGCGTTTGGGTGCTCCACGAGTAGATCTTGAAGTCGAAAATTTGCTCATAGTTCGCACGAAAGTGTCATATGACATTATTTTATATTTTAGGTATATACTAAGAATTGACGATCCGGATAACGATAAATCGAGATCTACCTGGGCGAAAGAATCCGCGAACAACTCGTCGAGAACTTCTTGCTCCAGTGTCGATCGTGTCTTCAGCCAAGCGGTGACAACCGGATTCCAGTCCAATCCCGAAGAACTCATGTACACCATGCCGTTCCGCGAAACAGTCGCCGGGCTCGCGTTGTCGATATTGTGCGGCTCGAAGATGATCTTGCACGTCGGTGCCATCGACAGTCTGTCGCCATTCGCCAAAGTCAAGGTTTTGTTGTCGTCCAGTACGGAATTTAAATTTTCTATCCATATGCTGTCGACAGGACCATCGAGCACCAGCCACACGTGCTCGCCTTTCTTTAATTTCAACGTTTTGCGCCAGAGAGCCGAGAAAATCCCGTCGGTCCAATCGTTAGTGGCTACGTCCAAGCGGCCGAACATCTGGGCGGCTGTTATACTCTTGGGGTTCATTCTCATTTCCCTGTGCAGTGAAACGAACTATTCGTGAGATGACCACGGATATGTTTAACACTTTTTAGATTATTTTTCATACGAACGAGTCATCATTGCACGCGCTTGCGAAAATCGGTAATCAAAGTTCTGAGGCGTTTAAATAATCTGTAAACGCTGCTGAGATTGGTGTACTAAACAGGGTGTTCTGAGAAGGTACGGCAAAAATTTAGGTAGATATTCCTCACACCTAAAGTATGAAAAAAATGTTACATGAACGTGGATGCGGTAACGTTTTTTTCAGGAGTTAGAGCTTCTTTTCTGAATATGCGACGTTACGGCTAAATGAAGTATCTCATTTGCTTTATCGGAGTACCTTGTGAGTACCTTATCTGCAGAAATCAGAAAGATACTGGCTTTTAACCTCAGGTTTTTAGCACAGAACGATGATTAACAGGGCCCTATTTTCTTCCACCGAATCTCACAGGGCCTGTTTACAGCGACTTCTTAGAAGATCATCTTCCTATCCTGCTAGACAATGTTCCGTTGATGATTAGACAAAACATGTACTTCATGCATGGAGCTCCCTCTCATCTCAGCCGTATCGCTCGTGATGTTCTAAATCAAACTTACGGTGACCGATGGATAGGAAGAGGTGGACCTACTTCGTGGTCTTTATGAAAAACTTTAAATACAAAAGTTGTAGAAAATCGAGTAACGGACTTGATGGTTGGCCATGACCTTGGCCATGACCTTCCAAGGTCATGTGGAGGTCAATTTGCGTTTTTTAAATGGGAACCCTTATTTTTCATTACACTGTTTTTTCTACTAATTAATTTGAACAACTTTTGTCTAAAATATATTTTTATTTGCCTAATATTTTTTGAGACATTTGAGGAATACTCGATAACTTTTTCAACATTTAACTTACGATATCTCGCTAACTATTTGTCGGAAGGAAAAGTAGTACTAGACTTTCTTGCTTCATTTAGTCTCAAGAGTATATTGTTACAATAGCGCCCTAACTTTTGTTAAGTTACTGACTTTTGGAAATTTCAAAATCATCAAATCAACAAAAATCAGGGCACTATCGTAACAATATATTCTTGAGACTAAATAAAGCAAGAAAGTCTAGCACCACTTTTTCTTCCGACAAATAGTTAGGAAGATATTATAAGTTAAATATTGAAAAAGTTATCAAGTTTTTCTCAAATATCTAAAAAAATATTTGGCAAATTAAAAAATGTTTTAGACAAAAGTTGTTCAAATTAATTGGTAGAAAGAATCAATGTAATAAAAAATAAGGGTTCCTATTTAAAAACGTAAGCTGACCTTCAAATGACCTTGAAGAACATGGCCAAGGTCAAATTCAAAGTCACCATCAAGTCTGTTACTCGATTTCCTACAACTTTTGTACTAAAATCTTTTCATGAAAACCTTGATCCTGCAAAGTTATCGGGGGAGGGGGAGGGGTTCCGGTATTTTTAAGACACCCTGTACTAACGCGTCCGTGAATCAATGCGTCGACGCGTCAATGCTTGTATGCGAAGGACGAATGGTGGACGTTTCGACATTTGTCGTAATCGTACTCAAGGTCACTTGAAACACGAATGTAAATAAACCTACTCATTAAACAATTGTCGTCCATAATGTTTAATCCTAAATTGTTTCTTGCGTAAGTAATACAGTCAACAATATTTTCAACATAGCTCATGAAAAAAACGTTTCCGCACCCATGTCCATATAATATCTTTTCATCCTTCAGGTACGAGGAATATCTCCTTAAATTTTCGCCGTACTTTTTTTAGAACACTCTGTATATCCGCTTGCGCAGATTCATCTACCTGTGCGAGTTGTCACATTGCGTCAAAGCTTTCATCAAGGTGTGTATGCAAGTAGTCTTGCCGGCACCGGTTGGACCTAGCGTCATGATGCCGTGTCTCACGCGTTGCGTCTCGTAAAGTTGTATCAACTTCAGCACCCATGGCGGGTGATAAACTAGTCCAGCTTGCTCGACTTGTTCGTTAATGGCTGCCTCTAATTCCGGATACGACGTTTTCTCCAGGACTTGATTAGGGAACAGATCGGCTACGAGAGATATGAAGAGCGGCTCGTCCTCGTCTGCAAGGCACAGCGAAAGAGAGGAAGAGAGAGAGAGAGAGAGAGAGAGAGAGAGAGAGAGAGAATGTCGCGTTGTCAAAACCTCTCACGCGAGTTAACGCGATTACCTATGAGTTTCGAGAGATTCATGTCCCGTAGGACGCGCATGACGATCGTGCTCTCCGAGTCCTTGGAATTGATTCTCTTGGCCGCTCCTAAAGTCCTCAATACAGATAATATGTTTCGCAGACCGAAGTCGTAGTGAACCTGTGAGAAGCGTGCAACGAAGAAGTGTCTTAAACAATCACTGTTTCCTTTCTCTTCAGCATCTTTAAGGGAAAAATTACCGACTGAATTATCGATCGAAGCTATAGCTGATAAATTATCAACGTCACCTGTTTCGTCAGTTGCTCTTCGCACAATTTGTAGAGAGTGTAGAACTTCCGAGCGAGGGTGATGTTCTCCAGAAATCCGCAGCTGGCGAGTTTCACGCGTATGATGATCTGCCGGTCGGGCACCATCATCGCCACCGTGCGAAATTGTATCTTCAAGTTCTCCGGCAGTTCTTTTCGCCCCGCGTATCCCGGATTCTGAAGTCCGCGGCGCATTATTCACTTTCTCATTCTAACTCGGCGCGCGCACGCGCGTACCTACCATAGTAATGAATATCCCAAGCTCCGGACACATGTCGATCTGATCGCCGTCCGTGAAGACAAATTGTTTCTTCTTCTCCTTCTTCGCGGCGAGCACCACGGCGACCTGTTGCGCGGCAACGGACAAAACTGGCAACTCGATCCTGTTGAATTCGTCGAAGCAGCCCCACGAGCCGCTCTGCGCCAGTCCTTTGTAGATACGGCCTAGTCCCCGGTAATCCATTTGGTCGGAGCAATTGAAGACCACGACGTATTTTGCGAGGGTCTTCCCCATGTCCTTCACGGTCTCGGTTTTGCCGGTTCCAGCTGGACCGCAAGGGGATCCTCCCATCGACATGGACAGAGCTTGCGCTAGAGTTATGTAACACCTGAAAATGCAAGGAGCAGTCGAAGTAACGCGCACGGTAGAGCAACACGCGATTTACGATCGCACTCACCTGTCGGTTAATGGCGTAATGACCAATCGCTCGGTACAACCCAAGTATTCATTCTGGTAAGTGAAGTGAACATCTGTGATACATATGGAGGTCTTGTCCAGGTCTTCCTTGAAGTAGAATCTGCATTGCTTCAGCCACTCGAAGTCGTTGACGGATCGTACGTTCAAACGACACTGAATCAGATGGCACGGATGAATTGCTACACGAAGAGAGAGAGAGAGAGAGAGAGAGAGAGAGGAAGGAGAGAGAGACGGATGTCCGCAGGGAGAGGTGTCTCCTCTGCTACTTTGAACAGCTTACCAAAATATCGAAGATGTCACGTTGATGCACGTGTATAGTGATCAAGGTCTCAAATTTCGTGCGCTCTATCTTCGTGAGATCCCTCGTGGTTTGATCGATCAAGGTGTTCAGCAGGTCGAGGAACTTGTTGTTCGTTTCCACCATGATCTTCTTGTCAGCGCGAGCTTGAGCCAAGGCCAGTTCGCCGTCGCGCGTCCAAATCATTTGGATGCCTAACAACCCTACCTGAGCGGGCATCTTGTCAAGGAAGGTCAGCATATTGAAATTCGCGTCGTTGATCATGCTGTAGCATTGTCGGATGATAGAGTGCAGGGAGAGCTGCGACGTTTGCAGCAATTGCATCAGCCACGTCTCGACGGAGCCCTCCGCCCTCACTGCTCTCTCGAGCTGCACAGAATTATTATTATTAAGAAAGGGATCTTCTCTCTTATCTCAGATTCTACGTTTATTTTCTACTCCGAGGGGATGCAGATCGGAGGAATGAAAATTTACCGCGAAGAAAGACCCAAGTTCTTCAGACGGACGAGATTCAATTTACATACGTTTGCAATTATTCTCTCTCACACACACACACACACACACACGTACCAGAATCGTCTCGCCTTCCGACGAAATGATGGCTGTCATCTTATTGTATTCGATATCGTGGAACTTCACGTAGCGTGTATTATCGAAGATGGAGAGTAGGTGATTCTGTATAGTATGAGAGTCGGACGCCTGGCCGAGTATCTCCAAGAGCGCAGGGTCGGAGACGAAGAAGAACCTCGGGAACATCATGCGCTTCTTTTCCAGGTAACTGAATACAATGAAGAGAATCGTCGTGAGTCGTCGAAAGTGAGTCGCGTATTATGTATTATTGATTGCGCGCACGGTACGCACCCACTCAGGGACTTCTGACATAACTCCAGCTGCTCTTGTAAGTGCGGCAAAAGCTGCTTCAGCAGGTCGTCGCCTACGCAGCAAGGCACAACGCCGGGTGTCTCGTGGGCACGCTGCATGATCTTCTGCCAGCTTTTGTCGATCTTGCTGAACCTCTTGGCCTCCTTCGGCAGCTGCTTCGCAATATCGCCGCCCACGAACACTGCCTCGAGGTAGACCCACATGTTCTGCACGAGCAACCACCTCTCGAGTATCTCGTTCGTATTCGACAGGTCCGTGAGCCACTGCTGTATCTGCTTCCTGAAGGGCGCGTTGTAGCGATTCGACATGAGCGAGCCGAGCACCATCAGACTGTCTTCCAACTGGCCGATCGTCTCCGCGGTTGTGTCTCCCCTCAGCAGCAGTTCCCCGCGGTTGTTGAACGTCATGAACGTCAACTCGTGAGAGGACCACTCGTTCACGACCGTTCTCAACTTGGCCTCGATGTCCTTCTCCTTCATCGCCGATATGCAGATGTCCTCGATGTCCTCCTTGTTCTTCAGCAACGGCGCCTCGAGGATGTTTTTCAGGCAGAAGCCTTCGCTCTCGAGATCGAACGTGTACCTTGTGACCTCGACAATCCTCTGCCAATGGCGCGGCTTCATGGCCTTGTTCGCCATCAGCTCGAGGAGAGGGCACATGTCGTTGAAGTCGTCGATCGTTCTCTTGAGCGCGAAGAACGCCGGCCACTCCTTCAGCCCTTTCGGCAACTTGCGACAGCGATTTTGGAACTCCATCAGCTCGTTGTTGATCTCCTCGATATTGACCTGAATGATGATGACACAGGGGTTATGACGCAGGGGTTAGCTCTTGCTCGCGTTAGTTGAAAAATACAAAAACTTGCCGCGACGTAAGATATTCTTAAGGAGCTTACTGGCTGACCTTCACGATCGACAAGTTTTAGATTCCTACCTCGCCCCAAGGAATGTCGTAATAGCTGCTGACCCTGTCGATGACGTCGTTGTACAGTTTGTACAATTTTTGCAGCAAATTCAGCTCCTTGCGGATCTGCGAGAGTTCCGGATAGTCCGTGTTGGGCAGGCCGAAGAGCTCTTCGCCGCTCTGGTACGTCTGCAGCTTCCGCCACATACCGTCGAACCTGTTCTGGAACAGTATTTGCCTATCGGAGGCATCTCGCGGGCTCAAGCCCGGCTGCATCGGCCCGGACGATCTGTACTCCTCGCAGTACATCTCGTTGTCCACGCGGAATTTCTCGAGATTGTTCCGCAAATCGTCCTGGAACTGCGGCTGCAGCGTCAACAACAGCACGTGGCTCTCGTGCGCCCGCGCCAGTAGATTCTGCCAAGTGTCTCTCAGGTTGTCGACCTGCTCCAGGCATTCCTGATCCACGGGCACCTCGTATCTGGTGACTATGTTGAAGGCTTCCTCGATCGGGTCTATTTTCAGCTCCATGTCGACCTCCTGCTCGCGGATCTTCTTCAGCGTGTCCATGATGAGGCGCACGTCGTCCAAGTCGCGGATCTGGTGATCCAGCTTGCGATCCATCTCGTTCATCAGCGCGTAAACATACTCCATTTCGCGGCGATACTTCTTCTTCATCGCCTGGCCGATCTTATACGTGCAACCTGCGACGTCGGAAATTCGTCGGATCAAGCGGTCCGATCCCATCGCCTCGTTAAGCGACACACGACACTCACCTTTGATCTCCGTGTAGAGACCGTACTTGAGCTTCTCCGTCGACACGGCGATCGATGTGCCGAATATGATCATATCCGGCTCGGTGGCTAGTCGGTCTTCGAGTTCGCTGTGCTTGCGAAGAGTGGTCTCGAATTCCGACAGGGAGATCTGCAGCAACTCTCGCATGCTACGTTCGTTTTTCCAGAGAAACTTATACGGCTTCCAGCGGTCGAGGAATTCCGTCAAGTCCTGCCGGATAATTAATACAAATCGGACTCGAATTGGACCTCGCGCTTTATGTCAGCGTAAGCTCACAGCGTAGATCACCTGTCGTAACTCCACGGTGCAGGTGCTCAGCATGCCGAGCAATTTAATAATTTCCTTGTTGTCCATGACCATCGTGTAGAAGTTCGTTTCTTGAGTTGGGAACATGGGCCTCTCCTCGGAAAGAATCTTGTAAAGCCTACGTCTCCTGGCCTTCGAGTCTTCCGGTTTTTGTTTCTCCGGCCTCCCGGCGTTATTCTGCGCTCGCAGCACGACGTTGACCAGGTTCCTTTTGGACGTTCTTTTGGACGTGTACGGCAGGCTCTTCCACATGTTCTAGCAACGAGATAACGCCAGGACATGTGCGACGATTTTAGCGCGACGATTTCAGCGTAATCTCTCACCTTGGCATTCTTCACGTTCCACTGTGCCACTCCTTTGGCGACGCCCGTGATGACCCTGCCGACCGACGTCAGTGCTTCCTGAACGTCGTCGAGACTCGGTTTGACCGTCACTGACGGGATCATCAGTGTCGCGTGCAGCAGGAATATCGGGTTCGGCGAGGCCTCTGCGAAGACGAGAGGTTCTTAGGCGCGAGGCAAGGGTCGCTTTGAAATAAGTTAAATAAAAACTACGTTGAACAGACAGGAGAACTTGTCGCAGCAAATTGTCCAAGTATTCATACGTCAAAGACGCACAAGAGAGAGAGAAGTTTTGTTCAGAGCGTTACCCGAATCGAGTTCCCGTATGAACCGCTTTCTGATCGCGTCCAGCGATATCCTGGTGACTTTTATTAATACGTCCACAACCTTCCTGGAATAATATCGCCTCATCTCGGATACCGCGTTCCGAACCATTTCCTGCATGCCTTTGGGTAAAGCGCCTGGTGTTGTCAGTAACTGATGGGGGTCATCGAAGTAGTTCCACACCACGGACCAATCTTGCTGGATGCTTTGTTCCGCCGCCTCCCCCCCGCCTTCTGTCCCTTCATTTTCGAGCAATGTAGTGATATCGTGAGTTCACGACGTGAGGTGCAAAATCGCGAGCGATTCGCGGAGCAACGTTAACGATCGATGCTGAGTGCACTACCTTCGCCGGTGAGGAAGTCAAACTGGTGGGCATCGGCGGTGCTTTTGAAGCTGTCTATGGCCTTTCTAACGAGTTGCAACACCTCCTCCACCGCTTCCTCGACCATGGTGCTCTTGCGGTGCAAATCCACCGCAGCCGTCCTACATATCTCCTCGTTCTTCTCCACGAACCCCTCGATCGTCCACGGCTGCTCGGATTCGGGTAGAGCGTGCAAGGTTACTTTCTGCATGCTCGCCAACACTTGCAAGATCCTGATAGAGTGGAAATCATGATCAGTAAATCGACTCGTGGAGTTTCTAAGCTAGAAGAGGCGAAATCGCTTCCTCCAACTTGGGCATTTACCTGTTGTCGTAGACGTCGTGCACCCTCGTAATCAGGATGTCGAAGGTCTTGATCTGCTCCTTTGTGCTTTGGCAGAAGTCCTTCCAATCCGGCTTGGTCCATGTTAAGATTGTTAAGCCGGGCTTCAAGAGAGACGCGATGCAAACCAAATGCGGCAACAAGAGCGGTCGAACCTCCAACTTCACGCGCTTGGCGGTAGAGACGAATTCCTCGATCATAAGCTGAAGCGAGTCCGTGATCAGCGTGAAGTGTTCTCTCTTCGCTAATATCGTCAGTGCGACGATTGGGATCTCCAAGTTGATCTTCGCCAGACAGTCGGCTTCACGGAACAAGAGAACGACTCGGCTCTCCAGATTCACCTTCACTTTCGTCGACTTCTCATCGATGATCAGCAGTGGCCTGCGGGAAAGTATGACGAGGAACGTTGCGTGTCGGAGGAGCAAAATTAATTCTATAATACATCACCGGTCTTGAAGTCTGACCGTTTCAGACAATCCTCGATGACCCAGGAATTCTGGTGCGTCCAGATCTCGGCAATGTCGGTCTGGTACTGTTTAAGAATCGTCACGACGTGATTGTACCTCTTGATCAAATCGCCGGTCAGTGGCAAGGTCTTCAGGACAGAATGATTCGACACGGACGTCGTCAGCTCGTCTAGATGCACTCTGGCACAATTTCAATGTTGCTCTTCAGCGTCTGTGAATAATTGTACAGATAACGTACGATCGTTGTATCTCGCTTACTTCAAGGAATTCGCCCAAGTCAATCGTCCAGCTATGGGTGGCATGTGCCTCGGTAACGGCGGGTCGTCTCTCTGTCGTTTGAACAGCTTCAAAACCCGGTCTATCTCCCTGTCGCAGTACCTCACGACGACGTTGTACTTTTCTTCCAACTTCGCCAGCGGTATTTTCTCGCTGACCTTTCTTGTCAAATCGGAGGCGTCAGGAAGCAATGCGCGGCATTGAAACAACATTTTCTCGATAGGTGTCACACGTGGATTTGTGGAAGAAAAGAGAAGCGAAGTACGCTCGCGTTACCTTCTCGAATCGCGTTAAAAATCGTATTCCCTGCGGCGTCTCCCACACGTCAGCGTAATTCTTCTCGATGATCTCACCGATGCTCTCCTTCAATGTGTTTGTCTTCGTCATAAAGTCATCGTAGTCCGTGTCAAAGTCAGCGTTCCTCGGGTCCAGGTAGTCGTAGGACTTGCTGGTCGCGACCTTCTTCGCCTCCTCGAAGGTCTTCATCGCCTCGTCCAACGCTGGGAATTTCAGCAATCATCTCATCCATGCGTAACGTTCGAGAGACGAGAACGCAGCCAAGTGACGTACCTTCTCCGAGAAGCAGTCCTTCCATTCGCCTCTCGAAGAGAGTTTGGTAGTCCTGTATGAGATCGAACATTGTGAGGATCTTGCGGATTCTGGTGCAAAAGGCGTCGAATCGGCCGAAAACGTGCGTCTCTGAGAAGGAGAATTCTTGTTCCGTCACCGCCGGCGAACATCGAACCAGTCTGTACGTCTCTCTGTAGGCTCTGAAACGAGAATTACTTCGAAATTCGAATCTCTCCGTGTGCGAGCGAATTTTAATTGTGTGTACGCAAGCTTAATTAACAGGGTTGGAAAAGTTACTTTGTAAAAGTATCTAGTTACAGTTACAGTTTTCTTCACTGTAAAAGTAGTTACAGTTATGACTTACTGATCTTCAAAAATAACATGTTACAGTTATAGTTATTTAGAAAGTAACTAGTCGTTACTTTCCAGTTATTTTTTTTTACAATAACTGTGCTATTATTTTAAATTTGGTAATTTGGTGTAAATTCCTTCAATTTTATGTTTGTTATATAATTATATATATTCCTCATATTGTGTAGAATTTTTACAAATTAGATTCATTATTAATTGCAATAAGCAATTCATATTTATTCTTTAAGACTATTAATAACAATTATAAGAAAATGAATGAATTTGATGAGGATAATAAATACTAAAAATACTAAAAGTAATGTTAACATCGAAAATTAGATTTTTTCACTAAAAATATATTGATATTTTATTGATATTTTATTTTGATATTTTATATTTTATTTATTGATATTTTAAATTTCTTAAAGTTGTCGGAATTTTACTTGCATGAATAATTTTTTTGCCAGCGCATATTTTGCAGAGAAATGCCCGGTTGTTCTTATTTCCAAATTTTTGCTGTAACTCGAATATTTCTGCATATGCTGGCCATGGCATTTTACAATCCTTCTCCATTGAATGAGATGTTTTATCCATTGCTTCAGTTCTTTATATAACTGAAACCACGCAGCGCACTTCACGCCAAACGTGGCGTTTATGTTGAAAAATAAGGACTGGCGCGACGGAAATGTTCAACAATTTTTTTGAAAGAAATACAAGTTGCGTTCGGAGAGGAGATTACCAGCGCTATTGCGTTATTTTATTTTACCCTTGTTCTACATCTAACGAACGATAAAGATAGATGACGCAATAGCGCTGGTAGTTCTCCAAATGCAACCAGAATAACTGTGTGCTTATTGGATTCAATATATCAAGCATCGCGCGTCGCGTTATCGTGCTAGTCTGCCAGAAACTTAAGTTTCACATATATAAAGTAACTATTAAATTAGTTACTAGTTATCAAACAAATGTAACTAATGTAAGTTAAGTTACAGTTACAGATGGAAAAAAACAGAACCAAGTTAAGTTATAGTTCAATATATCAATATATCAAAAAGAGAAACGACCATAACTATATAACTTCGTTACAAGTGACGAGTCACTTCCCAACCCTGCTAATTAATTATCCGTGTCAGCGAATTATTAATCGGTTGCGCAAATTTATGTATCGGTACTTGTTCAGACGTAGGCAATGTTTCAGCCTCGATCGCGCGGCAACGCGATCTTGGCTCCAGACCGTCTCCCGACCTCTCTTCGTGACGTAATCTCGACAGGCGGCGATCATCTGATTCGTGATCTTGATCATCAAAGAACTCGTTCTCTCCGAAGTGTTGTAATACCTCGAGACGCTGTATATCAGCCTAACAGTCTGCAGTAACGACACCAGCGAATCTCGCATTTTTACCTGTGGAATTTAAAATCTTTTAATCGCACACACACACACACACACACAGTATCTCATTTGGAGGACGCTTATTATTTCGCTTATTATTTCAAAATCGAATACGTGTCGGCTCTCGGGAGGATTCAACTCACAGGATCGTCGAGATAAAGGCAATGACAGCACTTCTCCAGCGCCTGGATGAACTTGGTGTTATCCTTCGCTTCGTTGTAGCAATAGGTAATTTCGTCCTCCGCGTCGACCCAGTCCTTGATCAATTTTGAGCGTGCGACTTGCAGGCACAGCAGCGACATAGTGACCTCGTGATCCTGCAATTTTCTTCGTGAATCTCTACCGAATCGTGAGTTGGCAAACCGAGGTCGCGCAAAGAGCATGGTGGGACCTGCAGACGGTTGACCAGTTGGCTAAATTGCGCTCCTCGTCGTTTCCAGTATTCGAGTTCCTGCTGCGGCCCGGAATTATCGTTCTCTCTCTTCACCTGCTTGCTCTCCGCCATGAAGTCTTTGAGTCTCTTTATCCAGAGCCTCACCCTGTCTTCGATCTGTTCCACAGCGTTCTCCTTCGCCACGAAGGTCTTCGCCTCTTCGAAGTTGTGCACTTCTGTCATCATCGGCTCGCCGTCGCTGAATATGCTAGCTTCGCGCGCTACCTTCTCGCAAACTTCACGAGCACCGAATATTACTCAGGTCCTTGTAAGAATATGTAAGAACGTAAGATATATGCAGCTTTCTAAGAGTACCTTTGAGAGCGCTGCAAAAGGATCGCAAACCCGGCAGCAGGAGACTCTTGATCATCGAGCAATCGTCCTCATCCTCCACGCCGGGGTGCGCTAACGCGTCCATGAACACTTGCTCCACGACTCGCTGGATGGAAGTGATTACGCCCACCTTCATCGTGTCTATCACACCTGTATAGAGGTCTTTCTGGAAGCCTTCCTCGGGCAGTGGCTTCGACACGCTGATTCTAGAAATCAGCATCAGCGATTCGAGGAACAAAAGATGGCGCGGCTCAGCAGGAGGAAGCATTCTCGCGGGTATCTCAAATTGATTAACGTCACATGAATTACCTGAACATGTAAATGCAGATGCCTGTGCAAGGCGTCTGCCAGCCATCAGTCAGGAAGAGCTTCTTCTTCGGTGGTTCCTTCGGCTCCCTCTGCTCCTTCACCTTCGACGTCGTCGCGTTCGGAGCTGATCTGCTCGAAGCTGCAGCCTTCGGTTGTACCTTTAACGAAATTCTTATTCTCGTTACCGCCGTCTTCGGACAGCCGACGATCTCGTACCGTGTCGGTCGGAGGCTCCGGCTCTTCCACTTCTTGGTAATACCAGACGAGGGTAGATCTCATATGCGGTACGAACAGCAGATTGATCTCGTCCAACATGTCACCCTCGAAGACGTGGTCCATGACCTCGTGTCGGTTCAACTGCGTCGCGTCCATCAAGAGCTGGAAGGCGAATTCCAAGCGGGGGTCCATCTCCCCCCGCCTCGCCTTCCTCTCGCATTCCTCCCGTCGTCTCTGCAAGCACAGGATAATTGTTGTTAATCCACGACGCGGGATAATGCACGAGGCGGTCTCATTCATCTATCGAATTCGAGGGAGCTCGCGACGCAGCACCGCATTGTTCGCATTGTTCCGCGTATCTCCGCGAGTACTCCGGGAAAACTACGCGAGTCTCCGTTCGCGCGCGAAATCTCAAGAATCTCCCTCTGTCACGACCTGGAGAATATCCTCGGGACCTTCCTCATCGCTACCGTCCTCGGAACCGTCTGACCTCTGTTTGATGATCTGCGGCCCCTGCACGAACATGAGCGGGCAGGTGGAGAACGCGGCACGTGGCCGCGATGGAGGCTGACTGAGCGGCGAAATGCAGGCTGCACTGAGAATCACCCTCGAGGCTCGACGAGTTCTCGCGAACATCGAGGTGGTGCGAGGGGTGATGTCTCGCGGTGCCACGGCTTCGTGTCTGGCACCGCCCTTCGACGCATCGTTCGTGTCGTGTGGGAATTTCCGCGCGATCCGACCTATACTAAGTAGATAGTCGATATCGATGAATCGTGGATATCTGCCGCGAAACCGGCGCGGCGGCAGCCGCCTCGCTTCTTCATGCACGGCTCGACTTGCTGCGAGGTCGCCGCGAAAGCGTGCGACTAATAGCGCGAGAAATTGCTTATTGAGACGCCGGTAATGAGCCACTTGTTATCCAATGTACAATGTAAGGGGCCGATATCGTGAGAATTGCACGTCGGGTGGTGTCCGTAGAGTAACGCACAGTGTAATGTTACATCACATCGAGATGACGAAGTATTCAAGGGAGAATCATCAGGGGTGGAAACTGCTAAAGACTGCTGTCGAACTAGATAGCGCGTCGGCGCGAAAATTGCTCTGTCGCTTGTTGCGCAAACATCGTTCGTTTTCCCTCCGATTAACCGCTCGTTCAGAGACTCGCACGGCAGGGGAGGGGGATCGGTGCACAATTTTGCGAGATTGCTCGTGTGCGTGTTGAAATTTCGCCGATCCTCCGCGGCAGCGGGGGGTGGCTCACCAGGAGGATAACAATGAACGCGATGCGGCATTAAAAGCTTATCAGTCGGGATGATCGAATCGCGCGAGCACGCGACGCGCATACCGATGTGCCTTGTAAAATGCAACATTATGCACACGTGATGTCGCGAGCCGACGTGGTACGTGTCTTGTGTTCCGCACGAAATAGAACGTCACACGGTCGATTGTCGTCCGGAGCGCACGCAAAATTTCTTTTCTTGCATCCGTGCGGAAGGCGCGAGGGCCTGCAAGAAAGAGAGAGAGAGAGAGAGAGAGAGCGTCGCTCGCGTGCGAAAATTCGAGTTGCGCCCGATTTATTAACTGCCGTTTCGGCGCGTGCGGGGCGAAATTCCGCGGGGATAAAGTTGCAGATTGGAAAGTTTCGGCCGAAGTTCGAGAATAAATCTTCCGCCCTGGACAGGTAGACCCCGTGAATTTGCAAAAGGGCAGCACGGCTCGCCGCGAGGGCTCGCCGGATCGCGGGATTTCGAACTTGAGAAGCGTATTTCTGTGCTCGCCGTACTCGCGTGACGTTTCACACGTTATTTATATACACTTAAAGGCCTAAGATCGCAAAATCGCGTTGCGTCGTCACGGGTTACGTGGCCGTTGATCCTGGCACCGGTTGGGACCGAGCGTATCGCACGAATCATAAATCAATCACACTCGTCGAAAGCGATCTTATATAAATAGATGTCCCGAAGCTATTATTAATTCGACTTTCGTGGCTCGTGGATTTTGCTCACTTTGGCTTCGTCGCTGATCTCCGTCATGTCTCGTGCTGCGAGAGGCCCTCTTTTACGACAGGACACACCGCGAAACAATGCACGTTCTTATGCGCGGTCCGCGCCGTAATGCGACATTAACTGCGTTTCCCCGTCTTTTAGGCGGCACTCATACTCCTTCTTGCGCTCTGTCTGTCGCTTTTCCGCTCTCTCTCTCTCTCTCTCTCTCTCTCTGCCATCACTCGCCCCCTGAAAGTACCGTCGAGTGAAAGGAGTAAAAGAACGGACGAATTGGTTCTTACGTACCGTTAAATAATCAAGTAGCACCGCAGTTGATGCATTATACAGTTGACGCAGAGAATGTGACGATAATGGCCACTTGACTCGAGTGGTCTGGCGTTACTCGCTTTTAAGAAGCGACTGACGCGATATAATACAGGCGATTATTGATTAAACTGCCGTAAACGCAACCATTTATCCTTGAAATATTGCCAGTCATTATTAGGTGTAGGACCACGCAACGAATCGTAATCCCTAATTAAGTGACACACACACGCGATTTCTCAATCGTGCGTGTGAACACTCGGTAGACACATTTTTGAAGCTTCCTTAAGAAACGTTTTTTTGCGAGGCACTGATTATTAATAATTTTTTACGCGGTCGCACATATAAAAACGATCGTGAGCAAGATTGCATTGTAAGTGTATAGGTTCTACTGTGCTTTACGTGTATTTTACCGAGTATATATTATTCCAATAAATTGAGTTATAATATTGTCAAGAGGGATTGTTGGGCTATTGACTAAAGCTTAGTATCGACTAAAGAGACGCCTCCACGACTCCGTGGCCAAGTAGTACCAGCCTGTGTCGGGTCGGACACACTTGGAAGCGTAAGTTGTGTTCCACGTGCGTGACACGGTGAGATCAAGCTGATTCCGCACGGCAAAGCCCGAGCAGCCCGGACTGCTCGCGAACGAGAAACTTCTTCCTCTGTGCGTAGCGTAACGTAATCTCTGACGAGATTATCAATCGTGAGTAGAAGTGTAATTTTTCGTCGAAGCTTCGATACGAAATATTCGACGACCGAAGTTTCGAAGCTCCGAAGCTTCGAAGCATCGAACACCCCTTCGAAGTTTCTTCGAACTTCGAAATTTCGAGAATTCGAGAAGGTGTAAACGAAATAGAAATATGCGTCTGGGGAGGAAAATAGAAATTGAAAATGAACGATTCGTTTTTCACATTAACAACATGACAATCGCAAGTTTGCAATTTCGAAGTGCCGAGCACAGCTGTGTAAAAAGTTTTTTTTAATTTAGATTATATATTGCCTGATTTTTTCATACTTTTGTTATCCGCGGAATGTAGAATAGAGATGACTGAGATGGCCTAGCATGCAATACGTGCGTGCGGAAACAAAGAGCGCAGGCTCGGAAACAACCGCCCCTTCGCAATCCTTCGAAGCTTCCTTCGAAGCATCCTTCGTAGCTTCGAAGAGTGATATCTTCGAAGACTAGTTTTCGCAGCTTCGGCATGAAAAACTTCGTTTTGAAGTTGACTTCGAAGCTTCGAAAGATTCCGAAGCTTTGGAGCTTCGGAACTTCGAAGCTGCCGAAGAGTAACAGCCCCGATCGAGAGGCGTCGGCAGGATGCAATTTGAGGAGAGGCGGGGGAGGGGGGCCAGGGGGAGGAATGGTATCGTAAAAGAAACAAAACACGCTCAAACTCCATGTATCGAGTGAAATATGCGGCGTCTATATATATACGTCCTCTCGGTTTATTATTGGAATATCTCCTCGCTAGACTAATCTCTAGGACAATAACCTTTAATATTGTACCATTATCATCAAAGTCGTATCACGTCGTGACGTATCTAGTACATTCGTCGTTACGTTCTGATCGGGATTGCTTCTACGGCGACTCTCTCGTGTTTGCTCGCGTTTATCTCCATTACAAACTAGTACTTTTGTAAGACGGATGCATGTGTTAGACTAATTTCTTTCTTTTTCGCACATCGCTGCTCGCGAGAGATCTTTTACAATTTGTTTCTTCTTCTTCTTGGATACACATCGAGATATAATTCAGCGTTTTCTTTCTACTTCCTCCTTTCTCCCCCTTTTTTTGCTTCTTCTCGGAGTCGAACTTCTCGTACAACACTGAGATTCCCCGTGTTCATTAACAATGCGCCCGCCCTAAAAAGTGTCGCTTACTAATTAAGTCTATTTTGATTGCCTACACGCAAGTTAACATTTCATCGGCCAAATAAAACGGTTCACAAACTACATCGTGAGTCGATGAGTGATAACGACAATAACGAGATACAACGTAATTTTCGCTACGCTCGAAACTCACTTACGTTTCGAGGCACAAGCGATTGAGACCGAACCGAAGTATCACGTGGTGGAATATATATTGACTAAATCCATCCTCTTCCCTTCCGCAGTAGAATTATACACAACCAAGCCAACTTGCTTTTGCACTTAATTAATCGGTAAAAAATAGACGTTGTCTGTAAATCGTCTCATACGGTTGGCAAAACTGCAACTTGCGTCGATGTGTTCCGTGTTGATTTTGCGCTGGTCAAAACCGTGAAGCATTCCTGACCTGTGTGTAATTCCTCGTTAAACGTCACTGTTCCCGTCCCGTATACTAAATGTGGTAATGCCCAATCGTCGATTGCGCGCGCGTCAAGATCACGCTACATCAAGATCACGATTAGGTCCTGGCAGATCGGTTTGCCGCCCGAGTGCGAAAGGCCTCTCTCTCTCTCTCTCTCTCTCTCTCTCTCCTCCCCGGCCACCACACCACCTCTCGAATCCACCGCATCGTTGACTACATTGACTACGCGTTTCAAATCAATGACGTTTAAATTAGCCTCTGTGGCACGACACGGTTACCACACCGAGTATACAAGCGCGTGATTTCGCTGCCAGACGATCGCCGATCGCGACGCAGGCACGATCGTACGAGCGTGCAAACACGGATCGGGGCGATCCATCTTGCGAACAATCTGTTAAAACATGTAATAACAGCACGCCCATGGTGAGGTACGTTACAAAACTAGTACAAAACTAGCAGCTAGGTACAAAAATGTAATTAATAATGTCGTTAATAATGGAGGCCGCCCGGGAAACTGCCAGGGACCAACTCCGTTCGCCTGTTATCTCCCTCCTTCGCGCTTCCTTCTCATCTAATCTCCTCGTCGTCGTCATCGTCGTCGTCTCTCTTCGCGTTCTCTCTTGTCGTCTCGTCGACAAATTTTCGGTTTTCTCCACTACTCGTCCCTACGGACGAACGGTTCGACTCATTCGTTTTGGCCCTGTGTGTATCTTGCTTCCTCGCGCACGATCATTCCTTACTTATCCCTCTTAAGCGACTTTCACGTGTTTAGAATGTCGTAATTGCTGAAGAATTTAATACTGCTCGATTTTGGCGAGTTCGCGAGTGCGGAGTGGCGCGAGATTCGTCTCTTGCCGCGTATACGACAGACGTGAGACAGTCAAGCACGCGAGAAGAGGAACGCGAGCTGATAAGTACGATTTAATTTAATTATCAATTTCAATCGCAGATACTCTCCACTCCCTAAAGTCGTAACGTGGAATTATCGTGAGCTCTGGCTCCGAACAGAAGTCGTTGTTTGAAGAATCTTCACGAAGCGCAGCGTTTTGTCTTATGTGAAAGCGAATCTTTCATCTGTAACTTACAAATTATCTTCTTTCGAGCAGTCTGCCCGTTCAACAAAGAACACTTCTCGCGATTGTGGTTTGTCAGCGCAGAAACTCTGACGTCGTTGTCGCGAAAGACTCGTGAGAAGCACGAAAATCTAGCGTCGAGAAACCCGTGAAAATCCTTCGTCGTGACCTCAGGGTTAATTGCGAGTCGCAAAATAGAGAGGAGCCGAATACACGCTTCGTTAATACATCTCAACTACTGAGAAAGAGAAAGAAAGAAAGAAAGAAAGAAAGAAAGAAAGAAAGGAGAGTGGGGAGCAAGGGGAGAAAAGGGGAAACTCCTCGCGCGGTGTCCTCGCGCATAACTAGATCTCGAACCACTGCGCACCGACGACAATTAAATTACAGGGGTAAAGCTTACGATACTCGGATCTGGACGAGAGAACCGGATCACGATCAGCGATTCTATACGTACGAAGAGATATATTCGCAATAAAATCTGTGTGTGTTAACGCGTCGTAGCCGAGCCCGGCCAAAAAAGGTTCGTCGCAGTTCGAGAACACGCGTGTGATTCGCGTGAATGCGGCGTCCTTCTCTCTTGCAGGGAGACCGGATGCGTGTGCGTCAATAACACAAGTTATGCTTACTTTGATTTGTTTTTATTTTCATTATTCCCAGCGCAATAAGTAATGCCGTTGCGCGAAGCCGCGCGTGCCTTCGCCGTCGAGCTGACTCGAGGAACGATGGTGCGTCTTGTGGTCAACGCGATTACTGGTCGCCGTTACTCATTGTACTGACAATAACAACACGTGTAACAATTTCCGGTGATGTACGAAAAGAAGAACGTACGACGAAGTCGTAATGGCCTTTCTCTCGTCGGATCTCTCGCGAGATCCTCGAACATTCCCCCGAAATGTTCTCACTCAAATTGCGATCGAACCTGCGTTACGTTGCTTTTTTTAGCCGGGTTTGCGATTTACATAGCTAACGCTCGAACTAGGAGACAGTCGATAGTTTCTTTTTTTCTTTTGCTCTTGTTTGATTCCGTTGTGATAGGCAAGACATCGTAATACAGCGTCGTGATGGAGCGTCATCCGCGGGAGGAGCGGCTGCGCGCCCCTGCGGCCCCGCGTTGAAAAAATGCCGCGAATTAAACAGCGTCCAAGCGCTCCCATCGGGACAGTTTTCCTTAGAGTTGAAAAGTGTTACACCCTCGATTGAAACGTGTTACAGTGTCTAGAGTAAAAAATAGAAGCTGAGAGATTTTTCTTTTTTTTTTTTTCATGCTAGACATCGATTTCTCGCGTTACTGATTCTCGTTTCTGCGGAGTTAATAAGTCCGTCGTTGAAAAAAACACCGGGACGCGCCCACACATCCACGCGAGCACTACTCAGGAGCGTATAATAATAACGAGCAAACATTGGCAAACATCGCACTCTTCCCTTTTCATCTTGCCGGCGTTACGCGGCGGTCCAGCCAGCTTGACGCTTGACTCCAGCGTTCTAACTGTTGTTCGTAACAGGCTCCGCGAATCCTGATCACGTCCGCTAGTCGCCCGAACCCTTCGACACAGACGAGGAAGCTGTATTGCGCTCTGAAAACCACTATTCCGCTATTCCAAAAGTTTACCCAATTAATACCAATCGAGTTAATATTACATTAAACGTACACGCGCGTATGCCGCGTGTCGTCGCAATCTTCATTGCAGCAAGCTGCAATTTGACAAATCGCAAGAAGATCGGGATTTTTCACGTCAAAAGAGGCGAATTAGCAAGTCTGCGCCCTGCAACTGCATTTGTTGATTGCGCAACCGTCGTGAATCTAATTTCGGTCGAAGGGTCCGTTTTTCTTCGCGTATACAGACATCGCGCATTCTTCAAGATTATTTCGCCAAGCCACTTTACACCCATACCTCCGACACATATATTCTCTCTCTCTCTCTCTCTCTCTCTCTCTCTCTCTCGTCATCTTGCATCTTCCTCAAGTATTTCGACTCCGGTTCCAGCTGCGGCAAAATTTCCCGCCGCTCGAATACTATCCCAGTACGTAGCTCTCGTTCGAAATTGCGCCTCGAGTCGTCATAGTTCACGTAGACGTGCGAAAATTGGACGCAATAGTTTACGCTTTCATGCAAAAAAGTCGCAACTAGCCGATTTTTGTTTGTAGCGCTTTGTACAAGATTAGTAATAAAGCTTTTACAGCGGGCGCCGAGTCAGGATCGGCCCGCAAAACTCGCGTGATCTGGATTAAGAATTAGATTAAACGACGACATTTTGATTTGATCGTTGGGGGGAGGGGGAGAGGGGGGAGGTGGGAGGAGGAAGGATAGTTGATCCTATCGACCCAGCACGTCGAGGAAGCTAACGAGAGCCCAGCTAGATCTCGAAAAGAGGACACATACGCGCACACACGCGCCTTCTCTTTCCGGTCGAGCTGGCGAGTACCAGCCTTGAGTGAGAAAGAGAAGACGCGCGCAAGAAAGGGAGAGCCGGCCGCGTCACGGGTGTGAGAGAGGAAGAGCGTTAAAAAAAGGGCGTAAACACTGGCACGCTCTCGGCACTCGATTCTTGCATCTGTCCGAGGGCGTTCTACGGGCACGACGACACTTCGACGACGCAGACCTCGTCGCCGACGACGCGTCACATTCGTAGAGGCATCTCCGTTAATTGACTAGATTTCTCTCCCTGCACTGTAATTCCGGCGTAATGTCGTTTCATTCAATGGATATATATATATATATATATATCGGTTTGACGATTTTGTATCTGCGGCCCGCTCGCGCGACAATCGTTAGTAACTCTCGTTTGTTCCTACCTTCTCTTTCGTTTTGCTTTGCTTTTTGTTTTTTCTTCTTTCTTTTTTTTTCGCATAATACGCTACGACACTTATTGAGCGTGGTTCTTACGACGTAGACTAGGCGACGATTAGTTTCTCAAATACCGCGGAGCGACACACATCGTTTCTTCGTTTTGTCTCACGTGCGACGACGCAGAAATTCGTCCCGGCTTAAACGAGACTCTAATTAACGGACTCTAGCGTGTTTGAGCGAAGCGAGAATAAATTTTTTTTCTTTTTTTTTTGTTCTTTAAGAGAAATGGACGCGCATCGGCGGAGTCGCCGAGTTCCGCCAGCAACGCGTCTCGCAAAATTCTCGGGGAGCAGCTTGCCGCGCGTCTCCGTCCGCGCGTGTTCACTTCGCGCTGCGCGGCGCGTCGCGTCGCGCGATGCTGATATGTCTTCGTCACGGCGACCAGAGGCAACGAGAGGCCGACTGCTCAGACAGACTGCTTCGAACAATTCTCGTAGTCGTAGCAAGTGGACAAAATATTCGCGAGTTTGGAGCTTCGCCGGGAGAGAAACGCGCGAAATGCAAGACGACATCGCAGCGGTAGATCTCCTCGATCTCGTCGTCCGACGTATCTCTGCGTCTTTCCCCTCGAGTTCCTTCCATCTTCGAATCAGCGGATCGGAGGCCGACGTCGCGCTCGTGTGACCGCGAGCGCGAGGTCACGGAGGAAGGAGTCGCGCTGCGGGCTGCGCCGAGACGCGAGAACGATCCTTAAATAGAAGAGACAAAAGCGACGCTCTAAGGTAGGCGCCGCGGTAAAAGTAGTAGAACGTAAGGTGGAGAAGCGCTGCTGCTCGTATAGACGTAGTCGATGTTGCGTTAGTCGTCGTCGTCGAGGCCGAGGAGTTCCGGCGGAAGCCGCCTGTGCCGACAGAACAGGGTGAGGCAGAGCACTCGCGCGGCCAGCCGGAACTGGGGACTCAGAGTGCTGAGGACGACCGCCTTCCAGAAGCTATTCGCAACCCCCAGCCACACCACGGAGAAGTGTAGAAATCGGACCTGGGGGTGACACAAAAAAGCCGGGTTCCGGCTATAAGATCTCGACCGTCAGAGGATCGATCCTCCCCTGCAACCGCGCGCGCGCGCGCGCGCGCGGTCGGAGAGGTCCAAGTTATCGCGCGATATTTAGCGGCATCGCCGGCGCCGGCGAGATCAAGAAGGCACGCGAGAATTGAATTTTCAGCGACGGCGGAACAAAGTTCGTCTTGAATAAATCAGAGATCGTACGTTCTCTCTCGCGCACGCGTGGCGATGCGGCAGACGCCAGGGGGGGGGGGAGGGAGGGAGGATAAGAAATCTCAGCCCGGAGGGGGGAGGGGGCAGTTCCTCAGGCTGCACGTGCTGTACGCGTTCCCGCGTAAGCGAACTTCTTATACTTATATGCCGCATGTCGAGCATTCTCTATTAACCTGCTCCGCTTCGCAAACGAGTCGACCTACATTTTTAATCGCGTCATTTTCAATGCTTCCTTTCGCGAAGTTCCGAGCTATTTTTAGACCCGTGCCGTGCCGCTGTCATTGCAGTCGTCCTGACGCCGGCGCGTCTTCAGAAAATTGTCACTTTTTACGACACGCCGCGGCCGTCAGGGAGTAACGTTAACGTCATCGGTGTTATTCGCGTGTAAACAGTTAAACTGGCATTTGAGGCGCAATGTGTGTGTGTATGTGTGTGAGCGAACAGAATCGCGCACTAATGCCCGGTTTCTTCGCATCTCCCAATAGCTATCTTCCAGATAAAGATATCCGTCAGATAACTAAACATTTGTTCTCTTCACTGAAACCTCTGGTTACATATCTAACAGATAGTTATTCTTCACTACTACTAACTTTCGACATAAAATTTACTATAAATTACCGTATTCTACGAGCGACATATTCTTCTCCGGGCCAGTTCTACGACCAACTGGCCAACATATTCTTCTCAAGTGATGTTATATTTTGCGATAATAAATATTTTCGAGCCTATCTTCGGTTAACTTCGGTTTCGCAAAAGTGTCGAAACTATCCGATTCAATGGCAGAAGGCAGAAAGAGAAACAGATTTGACAAAAACTGAAATTGATTTGGTAATCGAGATTATTTGGGTATCGAGATTAAAATATAAATATATTATCGAAAATAAAAGAATGCAATGCAACAACATGAAAAGATAAAAACGAAGCTGGGGACAAAATTTGCAACGCTGCTTCGAGAAACTTTCCTCGTCTTCTTTCCACAAATTCATCATCACCATCAGATTCAAAAATATTAATATCCACGAGCAACGAATCCATTGTTATGTTTGTGTTTCCATAAAAACAGCAACGATTACGTATTCTTGTAACTTTTATGTTATGTCAGGGCACCGAAATCAACATCTGCCAGATATCCGCTGCTTCCGCTACGGAATAAATTTATCTGCCGGATACAAACTTTACACAGGTGAAGAAAACCGATTCTGGAAGATATCTCATGGATAAAAGTTACCGATTTATCTACAGCTTATCTAGAGATGAAGAAATTGGGCAGAAGGAGAAGCTCACCTCGGGAGGTCCGTTAAGGAGCCCGTATATCCTTACCCCGGCGTACGGCGCCCATGACACCCAGAAGGTCAGCACGAGGACAAAGGACATGATATGACTCGGGTTGCTGAGATTTTCCGACAGCGCGGTGGCATACTCCTTGTCGTGAATCAGTACGCCGGACCTTAATCGCCTCATCATGGAGAAGATGTAGGAGTACGTGTAGACGATGGTGATGACCGACGGTCCCAGCACGAGGATGGACAGCGTGATGGTGTACGCGGCCATGTTGCCCCAGTCGAGCATGCAGATGAAGGCCTCGCGATCGAAGATCGGCTTGTTGAAGCCGAGCAAGGGTGGGCAGCACATCATCGCCACGCTGATCCACGTGAAGACCATCCAACATTGGCATCGAGTTTTCGTCTGTACCGTCTCGTACCTCAGCGGTTTCCTGCAACGGAGGATCGCACCGGGCGACTCGTCACAAACGTATTCCTGTGGCTGCGATCGATCGATCGATCAACGTGCCCTGCGTTCATTTCTCTTTCTCTCACTCTCTCTCTCTCTCTCTCTCTCTCTCTCTCTAATAGCCCACCTGATAGCCAGATATCGATCCACGGAGATCCACATAAAGGTGTACACCGATACCGCCCAGAGCGTCACCTCCAGGTAACCGACCAGTCGACACACGATGTCTCCGTAGACCCATCTTCGCACCAATGCCGGATACACCGAGAGCGGTACCACCAACAGACCACAGAGAAGATCTGCAGAGGCGAGCGATAGCAAGTAGTAGTTTATCACCTCGGAGGGACCTGCGCAAACGAAACTTTCTTAGAGCGATGACTCTAGAGCCTTACCACGCATGATTCCGCCGACGGATGTGACGTTCAATTAATCGACTAAAGACTAAAGGGTTGTTCCGCTCGTAATCAAGTTACACACGGTTTTCATCATCGAAGAGAAAGAGAGAGAGAGAGAGAGGGAGGGAGAGAGAGAGAGAGAGAGAGAGAGAGAGAGAGAGAGAGAGAGAGAGAGAGAGGGAGAGAGAGAGAGAGGAAGGGAGTTTCGTTATAAACATGCTGTGCGCAAAGGAGGCGAATAAAAGGGACGGATGCACTCGAGCGGCAAGAGCACGCTCGGCTCGGTCGCGCGCCTAACACGGCTAAAGTCAACATTATAAACATAAAGTTAAAAACGCGCACCCAAAGAGAAAGGTCAGGAAGCTTACCGCGGAAGTTGAGGTAGGTGGCGATGATGAGGAGATTCGAGAGGATGATGGCGACGCCGACCACGAAGATAAGGCCCGCCTGCATGAGAGCCTCCAACGAGGGCTCCTCCATGCCGCCACCCTTTCGAGCTGCATCCCCTCACCCGCCCTTAGATGCTTTTACCCTTCACCTTCTTCGCGATCTTCTCGCTGCCAAGTACCGGGCCCTCCGCCAAGTTTTGCACCGGCCCCACTCCTGGTGGCGTCTCTGCGCGTCTCTCTGCCTTCTTCTCTTCGTTACGTGTCTCCTTCCTGAGGTCACTCCGCGCCCCCCGGAGAGGGATGTTACTTAGGGAGGGTCCTTAGGCTAATGAGTCCTCGATATCGAGGTCGTGTCTTCGAGGATCTTGGTATACGATCGATGTAATCGTGTCACTGCAAACGCCAGAGAATCAACGCTCGCGGTTTCTTATTAGCTCTCAGTGTTTCCCCCGTTCTCTTCGATATGAATGCATGAATACATGAATGAGAATGAACGCGGGTGACAATCGGCAGGGTTTGATTCTAATACCGAAACAAAACGAACAGCCGCTTATCGGGAATAATGAAAATTTCATCGAACGAAGAAGAGAGAAAGAGAGAGAGAGAGAGAGAGAGAGAGAAAGGGACGACCGCTGTGGGTCATCCTCGACTTTGGGGTCAGTGTGTCAGCGTAGCTCGCCCATGAGAGGGGCGACGCGGGGAAAATTGAATCCCGAGGGGTAGATGGGTCGGATAACACAGCGTGTAGCGACGGTATTGGACAAGTCTCTGGATCGTTCGTGTCGATAATACCACCTCACTCCACCGTCGTCGTCGTCGTCGTCGTCGTCGTCGTCGTCGTCGTCGTGTCGCACCGTCGTACTTTTTCTCCTTTTTTATTTTACCGCGAAAGCCACGTAGCTCTTCCCTTGTGGGAGCGTACCCGCGAACGACTCGCGCGACGCTTTCCCTAAGTATCGACCGCCATTCATAATTTAGCTGGGGTCGATCCCTGAATGGAGGGGCGTAGCATCGCGTAGCATCGTGTGCCGTCCGTCGCATTTCCCGAATTAAAGCGGAGCGGCCGCATTTTACGCGGCGCGGGCCCGATGACACGTCGACACGTGACACCGTCGACCACGCGAAACCGAGGGTGAAAAACGGGCGTGAATGTGAAGACAGAGTCTTGGAATCCTTGACATTGCACATAACTCACACACACACACACACACACATACACATCCGGCCGAGTGCATCGCACTTTTTGCACGCGATTATCCGCGACGGGCGCTTCTCTCGATGCGCGACGATTGCGCGTGATGGTAATTAATCATGAGACTCGGAGTGCGCACACACGAACACTCGGCGCCACACTTTGCACTCGCATGACGTGAAATGTTGCGCGTCGAGTTCGAGTAAAGAGACGAAGATAATTCTTCCGCTCGCTCCAGCGAGCATGACAGAAACGTGTAGATTACGCAATCGTCTCGCGCTCTCGCGCGCTCGCGACGATCTTCCGATGAGAGAGTTTTGCGGGCCAAGATTCAAGTTCCTCTCTCACAAAGGGAACGGCCTCGAAGATGCGATCCGCCAAGTTCGCGGAGATAAACCCGTTCGACGGGGATCGGAATCTTCGGCCGGACGCTTCCACGGGCATTCAGATCGCGTTTTCCATCGGACTGGCCTTTCAGCGAGTCCGCAACAATTCAAAAGCAGCTGCAGCGCTCTGACCGATGCGTGGGCGTTTGCCCGCATGAAAGCGACGTAATCGACTCGAAGATCGATACGTGTCGCAATTATCGTCCATAATGTCTGCTTAATTATAAGCAAAGCGTCGTAAGCGTCGACATGCGACACTCGAGACTTTGTTACATGAAAAGCAGCTTAATGAAGCCCCGTGTGTATTATACGGCTTAAGCAATTACGTTGCTACGCTCGCTGCTCTCTCGCCTCGCCGCCCACCGGTCGGTCGCTTCCACGGCGCGTGACTTTGCTACCGATTTTTCCTATTTTAGAGAACGTAGAAAGAGAGAGAGAGAGGGGAAGAGAGAGAGAGAGAGAGAGAGAGAGAGAGAGAGGGAGGGAGGGAGGGAGGGAGGGAGGAAGAGAAAGGGAGAGAAAAGAGAACGCATAGCACAGATGTCGATCGGCGAGATTACCGGAACACGAAATAACGGCAGGTAGCTTGTTTCTCCACCGCGGCGCGGTAACATTGATCGAAGAAAATGCGTCTGGCTTTACGAGAAAAATATTTTACTTTCCGAAGGAAAGAGCGACGGAGGAGAGACGATTTTATGTTCTCCCTTCGCGTCGTGCGCGCCGAGTGTCGGTATGATCGATTTTGAAACCTGAATAGAAATAAAAGAAATCGTAAGAACTCGTGATTTTCTCTTGAGTGGACACGGAGATACCGTTTGTGTGATAATTAACTCGAGTCAATCTCGTTGATGACTCGCCGACCTGAGTGACAATAGCCCGAAAAATTGTTGGATATCTCTCCCGCTATTCGCCGGTTAACTCGGGATTGATGTCTCCTCGGTAAAAATGTCGAGGTACCAAACAGTTCTCGATTATCGGAAAATACCTTAACGCTGATGAAAAGTTCGCCATCGGAAATGAGGGATTTCTCGCAAACTGAGTTTGACGAGAAGCGAGCGAGCTACGGAGCGTTATTTGTCAGTCAATTTCACGCGAACTTTATGTCAGCGGACGCACATTTTCGACTTCAAATTCAGTCACGGGGATGAGTAATTTTGCAAGCACAGACAGTCGCTGGATGAATATAACAGGCAGGAGAACAGCAGGATTTTCCTCGTTGAAGTAAGCTAAAATCAACTGTCCAGAATCAACTCCGACTTAATCGGAGAGTCTACAGGCGAAAATATATTCGGAGAATATATTCGGGAACATTCGATGCGCGGAAGAGCCGTTGCATATATTTGCTGCTGCGTGGCGTGACTTGAGAAACAAACTTATGCAAGATTCGTCTGTTTGTATGTAGGGAACCGTTGGAGAAATGTCAAACGACGTTTCGGACGATGTTCCGGCGTATCATGAGCATTATTTCACAGGATAATATCTCGTGTACGAGCGCGAGCAACTCCTATCGTGATATCACGCGGACACGAGCGAGCGAGTGATTTCGCGATGTAAATATAAAGCAAGCGACGCCCGCGGGGCGAGAATTCTCATGTCGTCTAATTTGCACGACAACATATCATTCTGTCAATTTGACTCTCACAGATGTACACACTGATCCGCAACGAGTCGGGTAGACGCGGATCACATTTTCGACTTTTCCGTCGCCCAAGACCGAGACACCGACGATCTAACTCGATTAAGCATGTCAGACTTAATCTTTAGAGTTTAATTCTTTAATCTAATTCACAGCTCCTAATATGTTGGCCGCACGCGCGCGACTACACTAGCGGGAATGAGAGAGTTGATCCGACGACGCGACCTCGCGGGTTCGAACCGTCGCTATTTTTATCCATTCTCATATCCGACGGCAATCAACGGCGCGGTCTCATTGCGGCTAACAAAAAAGAAAGCACGGAACGACGCTTTTCCTAGCGGGGCTCTTCAATTATCGCCGGAGCGAGAGCGTTCTCTCTCCTATCGAGATGTGCGACGACGACGACGACAACGACGACGACGACGACGACGACGACGACGACGACGACGACGACGAGGATGGCGACGACGACGATAACGACGACGACGACCGAAGCCGTGCCCGACTCAGCGACGGATGGCCGCTCTCTTTTGTTTAGTTAACCGAATATTTGCCCAGTCATGCGCATGTGTCGCGATAAGGGATGCGCCACGCGAGTGAGAGAAAGAGAGAGAGAGAGAGAGAGAGAGAGAGATGGACGCGCGCGCGAGTCAATGCACATCGCAAATTTCCCGAGCCGATACGTCCGCGTGGCTCCGTTCGGCTCGCGACGTGAAATTTCAACGGGGTTCGCCGTGTGTGCACTCATTAGCGGCTCTTTGTGGAGATTTTGTGCCAAGTCAAAAGGGCTAAAAAGTACGAAAAAGCGAATCCATCCGCGAACAAATGCTTTTCGATCGATATGGTTTGGAAGATCGCATCATCCCCGACCCGCTGCGTCACCGGGTTTGATAAATAGTCGGGGAAAGTCGTCGTTTTAGATCTGATTGGACAATGTTGATTAACCGACGTTCGTCACCGACGACACGATTAACGGACACGATTAACGACACGAGTAACAGATACCGATCGACCGAGCCTGAAATGGAGCATGAACCGATGGGAGAGACAGCGATCGGACACGAGGGATTCATTCTCCACGGGGTTGCCAAAACATCGAGCTGCCGCACGGCGCGATGTCACACGGGAGTGGGCAGAGAGGGCGGTCGGCGTGGCGTTACACATGAATACGCAATTTTATCATGGGTTCGTTAGAATCGTCAGTGAAGAATACATCGAGACACTTATACCCGCGGCGAGACGCGATGTTTGGAGGGTAGAACGGAAGAGGGGGGGTACAGCGCGAGCTGAAGCCAGCGGAGGAGGGTTGCAATGCCGTCGACAACGTCAACAACGAGACTGCGCTGGCTGCACGCGCGCCTGGACGGTCGGGTATCTTCGCGAGAGCAAGCGGATCCGCGTCCAGGATCGCGCAAGACTACCCTCCGCGATAGTGGCACTCGAAGGACCACTATCACTCGTCACGAGGAAACCCGAAGCGGACCGCACCGAGCGCCTTGCTTCCCGCTCCGTCTTCCCGCTCTTTCGCCTCTCGCTGCCCTCCGAGACGCTCTCACCTGCGTCGCGTCGCGTCGCGTCGCGTCGCGTCGCGTCGCGCGATCAGAGAAACGAAGCAGCAGAAACACAGATGTTGAACCGAGAAGGACGCACACGGACTACCTAGCGCGGCGGTGAAACATCCTGCGTGCGACTGAACGGCCGAACGACGTCGCGCGTCGCGGTCCATCCCGCAGCATCCGCAGCCTTCCGAAACATTCCGCGGCACCGCGTCCGCGGCTCACTGCCATCTTTGGCCACGTTGAAACGACAGCAGCACGTACCTCCTCGGTCGCATCCTGATCGCGTGTACACCAGCAGCTCAGCCGGTGCGCCTCTCACAGCCTCCTGCGACGCTCTTTCCCTCTCTCTCTCTCTCTTTCTCTCTCTCTCTCTCTCTCTCTCTCTCCTTCTTTCTTCGTGCACCCTCTCGCGCGCCACTTTTCCCTCCGCGTGAGATCCGGCTGAGTCAGCAGCGACGAGCGAGAGACGCTGATAAAACGCGTCGCGCTCGTCGTCCTCTTTCTCGTCGTCGTCGCAGTCGTCCGTATGGCGACGTCGTCGTTCCTCAGCGTCCCTGTTTCTCCCGCCGCCGCCACCGCCACCGTAGTCGCCGCCGCCGCCGCCGCCGCCACCGCCACCACCTCCGCCGCCGCCGCCGCTGCTGCTGCGAGGGAGACGCACTCGAGATGCACTCGCAGAAGCACACCGCTATGCACACACGCGCATACTTGCACTCTCGTTCGGTCCCGACCGGGACTTCTACCACTACTGGCGGCGAGAAGTCCGCTTTTCTCCCTCGGCCCGGGCTCGTCGAGGCGTCGATACGACACCGACGACGCTTGCGCGCCGCCCCCGATCCACCCTTTCCCATCCGGGCATTTTCGCGGCGCATTCGAGGCTGCGACCCTGCCGTCGCGAGCGACTGCCGCCGAGCACCCCGAGACTGCGCGCGTCGACCAGCAGCGTCGTCGTCACGGCTCGCGCAACGGCCCTCGCATTCCCTTCCCGCCGCGGCGAGGGAAGCTCGCTCTAGCTCGTCGGACTTGGCCACTGTCGGCCGCGTGAACGGCTAATAACGGCAGGGAATGATGAGAGCCTGTTGATAACGAGGCTTGAGAAATCACGTGGAAACGGCATCCCCGAGGTCGTCCTCGGTCGCCCGAGTAACTCGTGATGTTTTCTTATCGATCGTCGCGCTCCGTTCGATCAGTCCAGCCCTTCGGCGTTTTCGTTCTCCGCCGTTTCACCGTCGTGCTTCGCGGCTGCTCCTCGTGTCGGCGTTTCTCCTGCCCCCCCTTTGTTCCCCCCACGCTCGCTCCACGCCACGAGATCGTTCGCCGCGTGTAATTTCAGTAGCGCGTGTATATCTTCCTCGCGTCGGCCGAAACGCTGTTAATCTTCGCGTTAGTCGCTTCCTCATCGGAGCCGAGTTAGCTGGGGGGTTCCTCCGTCGCGTCGGCTGGCCGTAATCGCGCGTCAATCGAGTCGCCTCCCGCTAATTTATTCGCGCCTCCTTTGATTAAAGCCGGGGAATCGACTCGGCGCGCGAGCGTTCATGTACGATGTGTTAATTACACCAGACGGAAATTCAAATTAGGCCTTTAGACAGCTCATCAGGATTTTATTCGGTGTCTCGCGGCGGTAATTTAGAGCGCGCGCGCGCGAGAGAGAGAGAGAGAGAGAGAGAGAGAGAGAGAGAGACAGGGAAGTCGGGAACTGTCGCATATTAATGCTGCCGTCTTGGCGATAATTTTAGCTCAATCATTTCCCTCGCCGCCGAGACGGCGAGGTTCCAATTTGAATTGTTAATTCGCCCGACCGTAAACTATTTTTTGCGGAGCGCACTCGAGAGCTACGCTCGCGCGCGCGCGCGCGCGCGCGTGTGTGTGTGTGTGTGTATGTGTGTGTGTGTACGTCTATATGTGCTCGAGTTCTCGCGATTAAATCCCGAATGTGTAATGAGGATTTTCCTCTCTCGCGACCGTCACACGGACGGATTCTCGGATCTCGAACGGTCGCGTCCGTCTCTCTCTTGCTCTTTTCGCTCCTCTCGCGTCTGAGCTCCGGATTCTCCGAGATCGGCGAGAGCGTCGCGGCGCAATTCTAAAGCGAGCGGCACGCGCGCGTCGTGTCGCGCGTCCCGTCCCCTGAAATCCTGCGCGGATAACGCAGCGAGCGCGATCCTGATGTCACTGACGTGGCCGGGGTGCTGAATGATTAAATTTAGCACAGTTACCCACTATTCTGCTCTCGACGGCGCACATGTTCCATACGCTCGCTCATTCTGAAACCGCGGGCATTGTGCCGTCAAATTGGCACATCTCTGATACGAAAGTTCTGCGGCATTTCATTGTTACTTGGGCTGTGCCAACAAGCGCTTTCCCGCGATACACCGTTCGCGCGCGACAGCTTAGGGAAAGACGTTTTTAGACGTTCCGTCATTCCAATTGCGCGCGGGGAAGTCTCCCCTTCGTGGAAAAATCCAGATTCGAGGACGCGAGCCGAGCCGGAGATTGTTTCTCTTCTCGTCTCTTTTGTTTTCTTATTGATACACGAGCTGTGCGCGGTGCGCGAAAGTTTTCGCGAGGAGAGAGAGAGAGAGAGAGAGAGAGGGTGGGGGAGAGAGACGGATATGAACGAACGAAATGGCCGGAACGTTGATTCGCGAAGATTCTTTCAAATTTTCGGTCGCTCGCACTTTCGAAATATAGCTCGGACGCGGCTTCAGTCGAGGATGCATTAATTCTAATACAAAAATGCGCGGGCGAAAGACAGCGCGCTTCCGCAACAAGTTGCGGGAATATTCTGTATGAACGCACTAGACTTCCTAAACGCAGCTATTGATTTGTGGCTGGCCGGGAGGGAGATGAACGCAAAGCGAAAAGTCCGAAACGCTGGATGCCCTCTCCGGGGAGATCTTTAGCAAGCGCTTGAAAGTGCGCCGAGAACGAATGTGATTTGCGGTCTTTCTTACGGGAATACTCGTCGAACCTTCTTCGAGCGGGGAGAGATCGCTCTCGGGCGAGCGGAGATTGTAATATAATTGGCAGAAAATGTGCTTCTCGGGGAAGCGTAAGGTCGCTATCGACCGCGTCGGCTGCCAATTTTTTTGTTTAAACTTCCCTCGTAACGTTGCGCGCTAATTGGTTTTCGGAACACCAACGAAAACATCTCCGTTCCTCCGTGTATTTATTGACTCGTAAAAATATTCGACGGCCCGCACGTGTGGTGGTCGTAACGAGTTTTTATTAAATTTCTCTAACCGCGGCCACTTGTTCAATTAAGACATCATTATTGGATTTTACCGAGTATACGGCTGTGTTGAAAATCAGCGCGCAATGATTACGAATTCCGGTTGGATTTCCACCAGACCGTTCGGCCCTCGGGAGACGCGGGGAACCGTCACAAGTGCTTCTCTTTCTCGGGCTCAAGCTGAGATTTAAAAGAATTGGAACTCGAAGAGAGCAGCGCGCGCGCGGACGGAAATTTTACACCAAACGACAACACAAGAAAAAGACAGATTGTGCGTCACAGAGGAAGAGAGGTAGAAATGCAACGTGTATATTTACATTGTTTCAAGGGGCATGGAATTACGTCGACGACCACGACGATCACGTGGCACGCTCACTCACACACACACACACACACACACACACGTATACACATACAAGCACAGGGACAAGGACGGTGGTTGAGAGCTCGATAATCCTAATGCAGCGTCAATGGCTTTCTTGAATACCGCTTCCATTCCGGATGGCGACCTTGTTCGCATATTTCCCGTAGACCCTGCCGCTCCTGGTGACCCTGTAGTGAATCTGAGGTCCCGCTTGGATCATGGACACGGCGCTGGCCACGTGCGGGCCGTCACCGGTGCCCAGTCGCTTGACACGTCGTATATTGGCGGTCTTGTGCTTGTGCAGGTGCGCGGGGTTGTGCCGCTTGCGCTGCTTCAGAATCATCGTGGATGGTATCTTCCGATTGACCGGCGGATCGCTGGCTCGCCTCCTCAGCAATCTCAGCGGCGAGACCGCGAGGACCGCCCGGGCGATGCGACTTCGGCAACGCCACAGCACCACGGCCGTCGTCACCCAGGCTAACCACGGACTGGCTTTGAGATTCGACGTCCGCTCCCAGACGAAGAGCATCTGTGAGCGAGTAAGTGGACGCTTTGAAATGTTGTTACAAAGTTGCGCTTGCTCTACGAGAGAGAGAGAGAGAGAGAGAGAGAGAGAGAGAGAGAGGGAGAGAGAGAGTCGGCCGTCTCGTAGAGATAGCTTGAGAGCGAGGTTGATCGCGCGACAAGCAAACGGAGTCGGAGTCGGTGATTTTTCGTCGCGCCGAGAAGTCAAGAAGTCGACGACGGTGAGTAAGACTCCAGTGAGAGAGCGGAAGGTGACGGAGGTGGCGCGTCTGGCCGACGTGCGACGTCGTATCGTTTGAAATCGATGTCGGGCTTGGTCACTTGAAACGATAACGAAGCGACGGCGCGGTAAAGATCCCCGCCGTCGCGGGGGGATACGTCGGCAGGAAGCGGCGTGGGAGGAGAAGTTGTGCCGAGGATCGTTCGTGCGAGAACAAATCCTTGATAATGTAACGTCGCGCTGCTCCGAGTCGACAGGTGATACGTTCGGCCTCTCGCTGGCCCCGGTTTCAAGATCGCGCGAGAGACTATCGCGCGCAGCCGGGCGATCGATTTCATGGCCGTCGTAGCGTTTCAAGGCTGTGCACCTCGAGATCCACGTGTGGATCCCAGGTAATTCGCTTAGAGCCCGTACGTCTCGAACACGTTCGCGCGTGTCGGCCACGGCGACTTTTATGGCCGCGCGCGCGCGCGCGCGCGCGACATTTTCGTCGTCCTTGTCGTAGTCGTCGTAGTCGTCGTCGTAACCTTCGCCATCTCTTCTTCCCATCGGAGTGACCTATTTGGCAGGGACCTCGGGGCTGAATTTCGCATTGGCCGCACGTTTTTATCGTCAAGATTGACCTTATGGATTCACTTGCTGGCGCTTTGCCTGAAAGTGGGATATCGGTAGAAAGTGGAATATCCGTAACATAGAATGGCCGTGAACGCCTGGTGGAAAGAAAGATGCTGGATGGAATCTAGGATTGCAAGGCAAATCGATGCGAGAGGCAGAGCTCGGTACTTGGAGTGATTCCTGATCAACGAAAAAATTCGCCGTTCGCGAGTCACATCGTCGGGGCTATAATTTTGCTCTCCTTGTGTCACAGAGCACGCAATAATTTCCGTACAATGAACGTAAGTGAACGAAATCATGTAGTCATGGTACCCGTAATCGCGACACACGAGACACAGAGGCTCGTTTCACCGAAAGATAGAGAAAGGAAACATTAAGCTGATAATGCACAAATCAATATGAATCAATAATTCAACGTACAACCGCCTTGTCGACAGGGGCTAGCGGCGACTCAAGTATAATAGGTGCAAGACTAAGGATTCAGCTCTTGTCGATAAAGACATGATATACGAGTCGCCAGCAGGATGAGCGCACAGTCGCTTGACGATAGAACTAACAGCGCTCTGGAACGTTTCGTGTTACATTTCTGAGGAAGAGCACACAGAGCGGGATAAAGGAGAGGGAGAGGGAGGGGGAGAGAGAGAGAGAGAGAGAGAGAGAGACAGACAGATGGATAGGGTATTATTATATAGAAGACGGATAACCTTCCGTGTTGAGACAGACAAGGGCGACATCGCGAAAATTCACGATGCTCAACGGGCCATCTCATTCGGCGCATCGACGGACGGTAGAAAAGTGCGACACACTGGAGAGATATATTCCAGATATTCCGTATATTACGATGTGCAAGGCGACCGGGATAACGCGAGTTTCCGCGTGTCAGACGGAGAATAGCGTATTCCGGTTGTGCGAATGCACGACGACGTCGCACGCCGATCGCACGGCCGTCGTTGAAACACGCGGAGGTGGTTTTTTATGCGGAAGGGACGGGGAAACGCTTAGTGAACCGGAAGAACGCGTGCATCGAGATTCGCGTTTACGTCGTATACGAGTGGCGGTCGACCGTGTGGTTGTCCGCTCCTCGATGACGCCGAGCGTAATGAGCTGTACTCGACTTCGTTAGAACCGCGAGTTCCTTGTATTTGATTCGCGTACTTTTGAAGCGAAATTCAAGGCGTCGATCTTCCTCCCTCTCTCTCTCTCTCTCTCTCTGTCTCTGTCTCTGTCTCTGTCTCTGTCTCTCTTTTTCTCGGAAAAGCCAGAAGTCCGAGCAAACTTTTCGCAATGGCACAGGAGCGAGGCGTCGTCGTCGCCGGTTCTCAGGTCGGCTGCGGGTGCTCGAGCGGCGACGGGGCTAACCCAACCGAGAAAATGCCACTGACGTCGCTGACGTTGACGGCTCTCGGCGATGGCGACTTCTCTCCGCGATGATCTCTCATATCCTTCGGGCTGCGACTCGGCCGGGTCGTGTCTCTGTGTGGTCGCGACGGGATCGCGGCTGGATATTTCGCTCGCGTGGGGGAGAAAGATTCGAGATTCGAAAGTACGTGTAAAGAGGCTACAAAAAATTGTAAAATAACATACGAAGCGGTGCGGGAGAGCGCGAGAATTTAGACAAAGGATGACGTCGCCCCTAGGATGATCGTCTGACGTTGGCCGCTGGCGAGCGCGGCGATTAGTCGACCGTGACACGCTGCGGGTCTATAGAGGAACTTCGTTGGAATAGTTGAGTAGTGAGCGGCTTTACACACCGCGACGACGACGACGACGACGACGACGACGACGACGACGACGGCGGTAACGATGACGAGATACGTCTTCTCCGCTCGCTTCAGCAGCGGAGAATCGATTCGGCAGCGTGTCGTTTAAACGCGCGTGGCGCGCTCGTATTTTTACTTTCTGAATCATAGCCCGTCGCTGCTACGTGCCGAGGAAAACATCTCCTTCGTCGGGACAGGAGGAGGAGAGTGCCTCCCACCTAGTTCAGCCTTGCCACCCTTTCGCCGTCTCTACCGCTCTCCCGTGACGTCACGGGATCGTGTCAGTAGGTCAGAGCCTGGATACGTGACCTGAGTGCGGTGCATGTGTCCGTGCTTGCGTCATGCATCGGGTGTACGAGAATTAGAGAGCATCAGGGGTTGCGCACGGTTGGACACAACACACACACACACACACGTTGCATCGTGCGATATCGTGTGTACAGAGGAAGCGATCGATGTCGCTTTGGAAAAGTGGACAATGGCGGAACGATACTGATAGTATTTTATTCGTACACCCCGTCCGCGTGTACGCACGCGGAGCGTGCGTGGCGCGTGAGGAACGCGAAGCGCGCGCGAGATTGCGTTAATCGTCGCAACAGAGATGCCTCCTCTCTCGGTCTCCTTCGCGCTCGACACACGAGGTGTGTGCACGTTGCATCGCAGATTTGCTCGATAAAATGAGCGACGAGTCAGCGATACCGCGGCGGTCGAGAGCCGAGCGTCTCGTTCGCGCGCGCGCGCGCGCGCGCGAAAGAGCGAGACAGTTTCGTCGTCCCCCCCTCCCTCCCCTCCCTCCCCCCGAGGCCCGACGGAGCAATCTTCGATGAACTTCTCCCGAGGTTTGCTCCGGCTGACGGAAATCGCGTCTCGTTATTTACGACGTCATCTATCATTGATATTCGTGCCGCGCGCGAGACACGGAGATTACGATTCGCGAGATTGTTCCTCCATGAAATTTACATTCGCAGATCGCGCGATGCGGCCGGGCGTAATTAATGCAAATTAATTACGGGACAGCCGCGCGCGTGCCGGTGAGAGGGGAGCATGGAAAATAAATCCCGTCGACTGATCGGAATAATAAGCGTCCGCGGCGCACAATCCCGTGTGGACAATTCGGTCATTTATTTCGGCAACGAGCGGTCTCTCCGCGGGCTCCTCCCCCGCTGAATCCGCGCCTCGAAGCGCGTCGAGCCGCGTTTAGCGAAACGCCAGTTGCGAATTATTTTCGTCCGATTAGTTCTCGATTATGCGAGTTTTTAGGTGTTTTCTCTCTCGGCGAAAGGTCAAAGTTTATGGAGTCGTTACGACCTCAGCGACTTACCGCGGTCATTAATTTCTTCCGCAACATTACTTCCCTCCACTCAGTGGAATTCTCCGCACTTTGTGAGAGAGACACGCGCGCGCGCATGATTCTTTTCATCATACGCTCTCCTTACGGGCGCACCGTCTGCGAATCCGTCCGCGACGTTTCCGCGAACTGGAGGACGTTTCGCTCGAACACAAGCGGATTACAATGTATCGAGCGCTCCGCGAAGTCTTCAGCGCTCGTCTAATACACACGTGGCCGCGCGCGCGGACGACGCGGCCGTAACTCGGGGCACAGCCTAAAGCTAAATATGGGGATAACTAATCGTTAGGCAACGTCGTGATTGCTTACGCTGGCTCCGATGAGCCGGCAATTGATTGTGAGGACGAACCGGTCGGACTAGCGACAAATTATCGGCAGGATAAAGTGCGCGAGCGGTAATTAATGAGACGACATCTCCGCGCGATCGTCTCGATAACGAGACTTATCGCGCGCGCGCGCGCGCGCGGCGCAGGAAAAGAAGGACGAGGGCGCGGGCGAGGAGGGAGAGGAAAAAAAAGGACGAGAGAGAGAAAGAGAGAGAGAGAGAGAGCCGCGAGCTCGATTAACATTCCTACGCGGTGTCGACAGCATTAATCATAAGCGTTTCGTTCGACCGCACACCGGCACCGTCCGCATGAAACATTACTCCGGCTTCGTCGTGTCCTTCGCCTTTAAAGCAGCAGCGTATTTTTCCGTCTTCTAAGTAACAGCGGAAAAATTTCATGTCTCTCGCAGACGCTTCTATCTCGGCGCTTCGCGCGTCAACGAAATTGCGCGCGCGCTCGCGCGCGTACGAGAGAAAGAGAGATGGAAGGAGCGACGGCTCTTCGATCTTCGCTCTTCGTCACGTGTCGTCGGCATCGTCGGGCAGGTCGCGGGCGGACGGGATTGAAAGGAAGAAAAGAGAAGGGTGGGTAGATCGCGTTCTCTCGTGGGAATGGGACGTCGCGGTATGTTATCCCGTGCACATTGATTTATCTGCCGGCCCGGTCGCGGAGATGCGCTTCTGTGTTTTGCGCCCTGTGCCATCTAATGGGCAATAACGCGACGATGATCCGCGCAATTATTCCGCTCCTCTCTCCGTCCGTACGCCCTCGCCGTCCAACGCGCGGCGCGCAAAAGGCGAGCAAAAAGGCAAGCGGAGGCCTCGCCTCCGCAGCCGCTGCACCACTGACCTTGGTCTCTCGAGTAACGTCGTGGCCGAAGTGATTCAGGAATTGCGCTGAGACTTCCAGCGCACGTAACTCTCCACGGCACCGACGTTGCAAAATCGACCGACGGCTCTCGGTCTCACGTGCAATTCCCTCGGCGAGCGCTGCCGGCTCGATTCAGCGGAGCTGAATGTTTCAGCGTAACCTTATAAATATAAAAGTCCGCGTCCCGCGACGACTGGAGACGACGACGACGACGACGACGACGACGACGACGACGCGCGGAGGATAGGAAGTCGTCGTTGTCGAGAGAAGTCGGTGCTCCGCCGCGCTGTCTCATCCTCCGTGCTTGTTTCTTGCCCTTTGTTTCCGCATCGCTTTATGATCGCCGACGTTTATTAATTTCTCCTTGCTAAATAATAAGCACGAGGCTTTAGCGCGCGCGCGAATGGCACGCTGGCGGATTATGCGTGCGGCGGAGTCGATCGTTATGTCAGCGGCGTTGCGGTTCCTGCTTATGACAGCGATTATCGCAAGCGCTGCGTTTAATTAACCGGCGGCAAACCGCCGGGTGTGTGCCGCCGTCGCGGCTGTGTCATTAGGTATTTTTAACAATGATCCGGTGTATTTTCGCGCTCGTGCACGTCTACTTTACGACGATAAATGCCTCTGTCCGGTTCATTAGTCTCGGACTCGCCGGTATCGACGTCGTCTACTCTCTCGACTGGTCCCCCCCCCCCGTCTACGCGCTGTATTTATCCACTGTGAAACTGTCACCGTCAATTTTCTACCAAAAGCGAGGCTCTTATAAATACACCCGCGGAACTCCGACTACGTCTCTCCCTCCCCCTCCCTCTCTCTCTCTCTCTCTCTCTCTCTCTTTCCTCGTTTTCAAGGGATGCATTCTGCCATTGAAAGAGCCGCATTCACCCGCCCACGGCGCTCCACGGCTCCCTCCCTCCGCCGCTCCGTTAATCACCTGGAACTTTGTTCCGGTAACGCTGGAATTCGCGAGTGCACGGCGAATATGACTCACACACACACGACCCACATCCGTTTTTCGCGCCGTGACACCTTTGCAGCCGGCGGGGCAGGAGAGCTTTGTCCGGAATAGCGTTATCGCTCTCGTAAAGATAGTAGACCGCTACTATCTAGAGAGGAATTCCTTCTCTCCTCCCCCTCGCCCCGGTGCACGGTGCGAGAGCGCTGCGGAAGGATACGTAGGTGGTTACCGGAGGACCTGGTGGGGTATCAGGAGACCAGGCGGCGGCTGTAGCGCGAGAACGGCCAGGAGAAAGGGAGAAAGAGAGTCCAAGCGGATCACGGGCCAACGCGAGCGAACGCGAGCCGCGAGAGTAAATGCTGCGACGCGAGGGAGAAGAGGGAGAAGTGCGCGGTGTAAAGGAACACGCAGGCAGAAAGAACGAGACGGAGAAAGGGAGGAAGAGAGAAGAGGAAGACAGAGAGAGAGAGAGAGAGAGAGAGAGAGAGAGAGAGAGAGAGAGAGAGAGAGAGCGACTCATGGTGGGGTTGTTGGTACCAGCAGCAACAGCAGCTGAAGCACGTGGGACCAGCTTGGTGTGCCTCGCGTTCGGTAGTGCTCTCAGTAGTGCTCTCAGCTGCCCGTGGAGGATCTCGCATCTCCGGATGTCCGTCGTGTCCTACGTGGACTCAGCGCGTCCGTCGCGGCCGTCGAGAATGTGACCGGCTTCGTTCGTCGTCGCCGAGGACATTGCGCGAGGATCTGTCTGCCGAGTTGAGAGAAGCGTCTCAGCTCCGACTCAGAGGAGCCGGAGAGAAAAAAAAAGAAGAGAGAGAGAGAGAGAGAGAGAGAGAGGAAAAGAGAAAGAGAAAGAGAGAGAAAGGGACTGAGAGCCAAGCGATGGCCCTGAAGATACTGCTGGCGTGCTGGCTCATCGCGACCACAGCGAGCCCGGCTCTATCGTCGCCGGAGGATCATCATCGAGTACCGTCGCGCGGCGACCACAGGGTTGTGTGGCCGGCTTGGTACCGCGATAGACTGCTGCATGCCAAGCACGAGCGCGTCTCGGAGGACGGGCGCGTCGTGCCGGAGACGAGCACCGCGAGAAGCCCGTGGACGTCGAGACCGCAGGTGAGCACTGCGGCCAGGTCGCAGTCACCGCAGCAGCCGCAGAGCACTCGGCGTCATCACGTGGAGCAACGGACGCTGGAGCAGAATCTCAGCAGCGTCGGTGCCGTGGTGATGACGGAGCACGGCGGCACGAGGGCGATCGCGTACGCGGGTTATCACGGTAATCACCGGCATCAAGCGAGGGAGGCCGTCACGCAGAGTTATCAGCTGATCCCAACTACAGCGCCGACGTACACGAGACATCATCCGGGGTGAGTGGCGAGCTATCGCTGAAGCTTACCGCGAGCCCGGAGATTACCCGATTTCGGCCCGGCCGAAGATGTCGAATGGAACGATCGAGCGCACACGGATCTCTCTCGCAGGGACGATTAATCGATCGAGCGAGCGATCGATCGCGCTGAGATGACAAGCGAGTATAATGGCACGATCGGTCGGGAAAGTCTCTCTCGCGATAAGGAGCGAGTAATTGAGAAAGAGAGAGAGAGAGGCGCGCATGCTGCCGGACGCGATTACTCGCGGCAAGTCGCGCGAGGCACGTAAATGGAAGCGAATGAATCGACGCGTAAATATACGGGGGCTGCGCTAACGTGTCGCTGGATTACTATATTTACGGGCGATGAGCGACAGGCCGCGTCCGCGTTCGAAGATGTACGATCCCAGGGCGATAGTAGCGCGCGAATATAACGCGAGGCGCGAACACGTCCGGCCGTTCAAAGGCGAGCCGCGCGAGCGCGAGCCTTTCTCAATTAATCGACCGATTAATTATCTCGCGCGTAGCCGCGCGCCTCTCCGTCGCGTACAATTATCGGGATTGTCCGGCGCGCGCGCGCGCGCGCGCGCACGCGCGACGCAGCACCTTCGGTATCGCAGGTCCTCTGGCCTCACGCATACGCGGATTCAAAGCGGCCTGCATAATTGCGCTCTCTGCTACCGCAAGGTACCAATTAACTTGATTGGGCGCATGAGCGCATGTGAGAGACTCGGCTCCGAAATTCCGAGCGCGAATCTACGCACCGAGAACGCTCTTTCGCTCTCTCTCTCTCTCTCTCTCTCTCTCTCTCTCTCTCGCTCTCTCGCTCTCTCTCTCTCTCGCTCTTCTCGCCGAGATGCGTAGGCTACGTTTGCGCCTTGTGAGAGAAAGGGAGAGACAACAGCGGAAAAGTGGCGGCGGCGAGAAGTAAGTTGATCGCGCGGAGAATCCGCCGCGGCGGAGTTTCGAATTCTGCATACTCTCTCTCGCAATCCGACTGCAATCGAGCCACGAACTGTTATCGAGCCGCAGCGAGTCGGCGCGCAGCGAAAGATAGATGCTGCGAGTTTCCTCGCTGCGAGCTCCGCATCGGACCGCTTCTCTCCCCCGTTCTCACCTCGCATTCTCACCTCGCAGCTGGCCATTAAGAGGAAATCAGCATACCGCCGCGCGACTTTTATCACCTCCTGACAGCCGCGAGATCATTCCGCTGGCCGGCGTGATCCGATGATTGCCCGTCGGAAAGCCTCGCGGCCGTTCACGCAACGCACGGCGAAGCGCGCCCACGGCGCTGCGCTGCGCTGCGCGCTGTAAACACCGGCCGAGTACGGCGCGGTATCATTCGCACCGTGAGAGAGACTCCGACTCTTCTCTCTCTCTCTCTCTCTCTCTCTCTCTCTCTCACTCGTCGCGCGATCATTTCAATATTCATGTCGCGCTTCGAATTACCCCGCTCCCCCCGCTTCCCGCCGCGACAGCGCGTGATCGAAGCGGTTCGTGAAGCACGGAGGAGACACGCGTCAGTCTCTCTTGTCGGTATGATTATCGCGGACTCGTACGCGCGCGTGAGATCTCTCGTTACTTATTACTCACTATTTGGTCTGCGAGCGCAATAATTCGGTGCTCGTCCGCCTGAGCAGTCGCACGATCGGGTTACCCAGATGCGTGCCTCGGGCTAAAAAATCTTGTAAACCTGTCCGACGGTGCAGCGATGTGCGTGTGTGCGGCTCTCCCTCTCTCTCTCTCTCTCTCTCTCTCTCTCTCTCTCTCTCCCTCTCGCTCGTTCTCTCCTTCGCGCCGTATCATCACGCACACGCGGCGGTCGCCAACTCGCGCGCGCCTGCACCTCGCGCGTCGAGAATCTCTCGACTCGCGATGCGGCGATGCCGGTCGGATCGTATCATCGATTTCAGCCCATTGACGCGGCGATCATAACACTTAAAACGCGATTTGTCGACTTAAAGCCGCCCGGGCTGAGTCCGGAGGTGACGGGCGAAATGGTGTCGGCGTAACTTGGCGCGCTGATATTAACGCTAACGGCTCCTCCGTCGACGACGACGACGACGACGACGACGACGACGACGACGACGATGTAAAAGCGAAAGAAAGAAAAATTAGCCCGCAGTCGAAGCCAGCGCGCTTCGAGTTCGCAAATCGACGGCGGGAAGATTCGCGGCTGCGAGATGCGTCATCGCGGGAGAGGGACGTTTCTTGCGTTATCGATCTCCGCCGGCTGGGTCTCGCGCGATAACTCACAATTTAAAATCATTCGACGCGCTTACGAGAGTCGCGCCCGAGCATTAATTTATACACCCACCGCGTTTCCCCTCTTAATTAACCGCTATTGTTCCGCGCATTGTCTGAGCGGCAAGGCAGAGCGGCGGCGAGCGCGGCGTGCGTTCTCCTCGCGCACCGCCGCGGCGCGGCTGTGCGTTTTGTCTTGATTATTTATGTTGCTTCGTTTACGACACCGCATTCGAGTGATCGATGAGCAGCCGGCTGGAAGAGACGCGAATAATGAATATTCAAGCCGTTCCGAGTAGCCCAGATAACCATCCTGCGGTGTCACTTTCAGGCTCACGTTTCGCGGCCCAAGGAACGTTGCGTCGCTTATCGGCGCGGGGCTACAAACATCGATGGCTGATCGATGAACGACGAGGTCATCAAGGGACAGGTGTCATTCGTCGATATAATGCGTTCGCGGGAACTATAAACGCGCCTGCGCGTTCCATCATATCTCCGTGGGGGAACGTTAACGGTCATTCCGCGACGCCATGTGCCACGCCATGAGCTATCTCGTCTCGGTGCGTTCGGTTAGGCCAAATAAATAAACGTCAGGCGAGCTCGATACACACACACACACACACACACACACTCGCGTGCGCCCGCACCCATCACTTGCGACGTTTCCTCGCGCGCTCGCTACCCCGACACATCCTGCACCGCGCTCGGTTTATTCAGCCGGCTTATTTCGGACAGCACGAATCTACCGTGTATTATTCAATGTTTGAAGAGTCCTCCTGCGCCAGCGGGCCGCCTCTCGTGAAAAATGTGCTCACGTGAGCGAGGAGTCGAGTGCGCTCAAGAGCTCGTTAGACGGACGCGGGCTTGAATTTTCATCGCGCCGCGCCGCGCCGCGCTGCGCCGCCGGGAGGCGGACGGAAATAGGAGCGATTAATTAGTAAATATCCGAAACGCATTTGAACGGGCCAGGCAGACGCAGCGGTCGCTCGTTCTCTTTGAAACGCGATCGCGCCCCATTATTTCACCGGCGCGGCGGTGGAGAAGCGCGGCAACGCGCGAGCGGTCCTTCCTCCCCCCGCGCTCTCTCTCTCTCTCTCTCGACGCTCGTCGACGGAGTTCCTCCGGATCAGCGGAACGGAAAGGGAGCGAAGAAACGCGCGCGCGCGCGCGCGCGATGCACAGTGAAATTCCATGGCCGCAAATAGAGCACTTCTTTCGCACGTTCGCGTCTTACTCTGGCCTGTCTCGAGTCGCGGCCGAGCGGGGGTATCCCCGCGGGCTAAACGCATCGGGTTCGGCCGTTCAACTCTCCGAGGAGCCTCCGCGTGATGCGTATCGCGCGAGTCACGCGCCGAATTTCGAGCCGGTTCCCGCGGGACATTCGCGCCGGCGAAGGAGGCTTCGAACGGCGAAGGAGGATCGCGAGCCGATGAGGTGGCCTCGTGAAGCCTGTGATCCGCCTCCGGGCCTCCCCGGGAGCTCGCGAGATTCGATTCATCATGCCCACGATGAGCACGATGGGACAGTTCGCGAACTCTCTCATTAATTGGCTGTGGGAAATTTCCCAGTGCGAGACTCACCCCGAGGGGGGTCGCTTCGCGAGCTTCAGCTCGTTGCCGAAAGTTGCCCGGAACGGAAAACTCGCGGCAGCTCCTGCGAGGATGCGCGCGGGAGCGATATCGAGCTAGCACACCCGAGCGATGCATCGTGCATACGTGCGTGCGCTCCGACCCATGACCTTATAATGCCCTACACTTAGCGCGCTGAGCCGCGCGAAGGCCGCGGGAATCGATCGTCTACCGGATCGGCGGAAGACGTACAATTTCGGTGGACGTGCAGGCACTCGACATTGAATCGTATCGCTCCATCGGCTCGCCCGGCCGCCTGACAGTCCCCATCGCTTCGGGGAGCACCGCTGGACCCGCCAGGTAACGAAGCAGAAGAGCTGACGTCGAGACGCAGCGCGAAGGACAGCGAGAGCTGAAGGGAGACAGAGAGAGAGAGAGAGAGAGGGGGGAGGGGGAGAGAGAGGGAGAGAGCGATGAGATAATAAAAACGCGGAGGGATTATTCCGCCGTAACCGCGCGGGCATTTTCAGCGACGGATTTGACGGACGTTAAGACGGAATTCACGCTCGCTTCGGATAAATCGAGGGGAAACGTAGCGAATAGCGGCGATGGCGCAGCGAGCGCCATTAGATCGCGCCGCGGAGATACCGAGGGATGAACGATCGGAGTGGATGCGATGCTCGCGGCTCGATCTTGCCACGTTCGATGATAGCGGCCTCATGTAAATCCATTAGCGCGGACTTTTATCCGCAGGCCGCGCGGACGCGAGGGGTGAAGAGGTCAAAGCGAGAGAGGAAAGTGGGCGGATAAGGTGCGCGGGACGCAGGTACACGCGCGCGGACCGCTGTCGGGGTATATCTTGTGGTTAGCGGTCTTGACTTTTTTTCTCCGTTTCCTTCGAATATTCGATATACATATATGTATACGGTGGTCGAAAGTAGCGAGAAGGACGAAGGAGAGGAGCGAGAGGAGCGGCGGATCGGGTTCGCGTTCGCGATCGATTCGATCGGAGTCTCGCATTGCGGATTCGTTTCTTGCGAGAAAGTGCTCTCGCACGCGCGTGCACTTGTAGAGAGAGAGAGAGAGAGAGAGAGAGAGAGAGAGAGAAAGAGAATGAGAGAGAGAGAGAGAGAGAAAGAGAATGAGAGAGAGAGAGAGAGGAAGAGAGAGAGAGGGAGGGAGAGAGAGA